GGCATACCTGAAAACCAAGTGTTCCAAATTATATATTTCTTATGTAATTTGTCAGCAAAAACTGCCATCATAACTAAGGAAAACAAGAATTAACTCTGGAGCATGGTAGCCAAAAGTTCCCAAGACTCTCGTGGAATGCAACCGAGCTGCTGTATCAGAAGACTGGTTTGTCAAGTTGAAATCAGCAACTTTTGCTGTAAAATCATCAAACAGTAGCACATTGCTGGATCTGATATCGCGATGAACAATAGGAGGCTGAACTTTTTCGTGAAGATACTCAAGCCCTCTCGCCGCCCCATAAGCAACCTTAACTCTCTGATGCCAAGTAAGAACTGGACCTGGCTCAGCACCTTGTACACCTTTCCTACCTGCAATAAAACATCCTTACAATCAACCCGAGAAAAATCTTGGACATCTTCCCAGTAAATGTTTATGTTTGCAGACAATGACTAATCTAAAGAACGGTTTATCAGCATACCATGTAAAACATCATGTAAAGACCCTGAGGTTGCAAACTCATATACCATGATTCTGTTGTCTGCCTCTAGACAATACCCAAGAAGAGTCACAAAATGATCATTCTTAAGTCTTGAAACCGTTGATAACTGCACGTTTATATAATCAGAAAAGAGAAAGACAATAAACATCACCAAATGACACTCAATGTAGAATAGATTTAAGAAACACAGCAGAAATCAAACATTTATAATCACCTGTGCTGCAAAGTCAGAATCTGGCTCCGATGAAGTCGTATCCAACTTCTTTATTGCAACCTGCTCGCCACTGCTTAATGTTGCAGAAAAAACGCGGCCGTAGGATCCCTCACCCACCAAAGCCTTTTGCCCAAAGTTGCCTGTCAATTTGTTCAGCTCATCCAATTGCATTGCAGGTATCTCAATGGGAAGAACTTTCTGTGGAGCTCCATTTCTCAAAGCCCCAGAATTCCTTGGCTCTCTTTCACTAGCTACAATAACAAAAACCAAAAATATGAGAAAAAGCAAAATCAAGCTAAACCAACTCATATTCATACCAATGACTTATCTCATACAAAACACAAACAAAATGCATTCTGCCTATAGTGAGACTGCACATTTATTATGTATAATACTTTCTTTTTTCTTTCTATTTTTGGTCCTACAACTATGAGATTATTTCCATTTTTGGTGCTCGACTATTAATTTTTCCACATTTGGTCCCACAATACTTGATCATTTGGCCTAATTTTCGGTCACCATGACCAAGTTTGTACCTCTATAATATTGAACATGAGTGCATAACACTCAAGTGACTTATCTTGAAGGGTAAAATAGTCAAGTTAACAAATTTGGTCACCGATGATCGGAAATCAGTCCGGAGGACTAAATGTGGCTAAGTTTTAAAAGTGGTGAGATCAAATGTGAAAAAATTAATAGTCAGAATTAAATGTGAAAATGATTGGACCAAAAGTAAAAACTTATATATATTTATATAATAGAAAATGTGCTCTGTATATAATTTATTCTCCGGTAGGCGGAGGGGGAGGGGGAGGGGGGCTTACCACCACCGGTGCCGCCGCGATAGGGGTTGGCCTTAGGAGGGACTGTACTTTGATTAGCCGGTGGACCGCTATAATCCTCTAGCTCTCCACCACCGCAGCACGACATCTTATCTCAAATTGTAAGCAGACACAGTAATCTTAAAGGAAAATTTTAACAATCCATAGTAACACCAACTCTCAGGATTAAAAACCTAATTATTTTCTTCCCTGCGCCTAACCGTATATTCTGAGGCTACAATATGAATGAAATGGGACAATCAAAGAATTCGCGCGCAGATCCACATACAATGATGAATGATCAAAGATCAATGATGATATAATTCACCATGAAATATGATCATAAATCAAGAACATGGAATCCAAATGCAATGCAGATAGATCTGGGCGGTCTGTCTGTCCCTCCTTGAGCATCAAGCAACATGCGACCTATTGAAAAATCGAAAAAAAAAAAAAAAAAAAAACAAATGGAAAACACAGTCCGCCCTTAATTTACAGGGAGAAAAAGATGAAGAAAAAGAAAAAGAAAGCGTGGGGAGTTTTTCTCTTTTTCTTCTCTTTCCTGTGTTCTGTGATGGAAGAAGTGGGCAAAATGCAGCGAGATTTTCCTCTTTTGCGGGAAAACCGGTTGGACGCTTTTAACCGCTAAAACTAACACACACAATTTCTATACTACGTGCCTGCCTTCAGTTTTCCATTCACCCTTCCTATGCTTTTTTTCTTTTCTTTATTTATCTACTCATTAAATACTTAAATAATTTTTTGAGTACCATCTACATAGTACCTATCCAATATACTTTTGGCCTGCATGGGTAGCTCAACTGATTATAGAGGTGAAATTTTGGAAGAATGACCAGGGATTGAGTCTCAACCCCAACAGTGTGGGGGCCCTTAGGGTTGAGGTTTAGCCTTTTGGAAGAATATACTTCTATGTGTTTGGTTGGTTCGATTAATCAGGTTAAGTGAAGTTATTTTTAATTTAATTTTTTATAATATTAAGTTTAGGATTAATATACAAAATTTATATATTTAAAAACTACACTAAAAGTACTATTAAACACAAAAAAAATAAATTTAAAAATAAAAAAAATATTAAAAAAATAAACAAAGAAGAAAGAGTTGATTTGACCAATAAATAGTAAGACAGATAAAATGGTACAAAGAGAGTAATATACATTTTTTTTAGAGAGTAATAAACATTTCGTTTTAAAATAATCAAATTATGGGTTTAATATAATAGTTTAACATTAAAGTTTTCAAATAATTTGGGATGTTATATATCATTCTTACCTTGATGGTATAATATCACAGTAACGATTGATTTGCTACTATCCAACATGATTAGGTTAGGATTATAAAGTTAATTTGCTATATTCCACCTGAAATATGAAATTATTAAGTGTATTATTTATTTTTTTAAATTGAGATTTCAATTTAAGCATGAATAAAGAGATTTAAGTCTTAAGATCAATGTCAATTTGCAATTCTTCTCTTCAAATTAAGGTAGGATGAGGGATGAGAATTGCGAATTGAGATCGATCTTAGAGCTTAAATCACTTTATTCATACTCAAATTGGAATTTAAGTTAAAAATGATGAAAATACCTTTAAAATTTTTAAATTTCGGCATGGATTAAACAGATTGGTGACCGTCATGATGAATTTTGATACTAAAATAATAGTCGTGGATGAAAATTGATACTAAAATAATAGTCATACATGAAAACTGGTAGGAATTAAACATGTTAACCAAAATTGTCATTTTGCTAATTCTCATGAGACCAAAATTGATATTTACTCTGTTGGACAAATTTAGGAACACGAACTTTTTGTAATGGTCCTCACAAATAGTGCCAATGATAATTTTATTGGATAAGACCACCATGAAATTGAATTGTCGAAGGTATTTTAAACAATGAGTACAAGAATAAAATAATATGACACTGAACTGTAGGTGCCTTATCGATTTATAATAAAATAGTAATAAAATGTGGGTTGAGAGTACAAGTCCCATAAACAAGCTTTTGCCCAGCAAAATGGTAATTACATTGCTTAAATAAAGTGGCCTTGTCTTGAAGAGTTGAAGTGAAGACCTAGGAGAAAAGGATTAAATGCCCAGTGAATTCGATTATGTTTGAAAACTCGAAATGACCTCCTATTTATAGTGTCGGAACCACATCTCGTCAGGCATCTTCACCCTTCACTTTTGACCACCTATCCTAGGGGGCACCTCGTGGTCATAGCTAGGCTAAAACCGACCTTGCGTGGCCACATCAGGTAGGGAAGCGCTACATCGACTATGTCAGTAAGCAAATGACTTCGATACCCCGCTCCAACCACCCCAATTTGGCATTCTACCCCCTTATTCCAACTTAGTATTGTCTTGATCCAACATATTTTCATCTCAATCCCTTAGACATTAGCTCATGTATCACTTCATACCCTATCTCTCAATAGTGCATAATAGCCCAACTTCCTGTCTTGTCCCACTTCGCACCCATCCCTCAAACATTTTCACATCATCCCCCTTAATTTTACTCCTCAACTTAATTCGCACCCCTAACTTTCATCTCTTCTTATCTATATCTCAAAAACATTATCTATGAATTCTAATTGTCTCCTAGACCCGATTTACTAATGGGGCTCCACTTTGGGTCAAATCGACTTTGGATCTCAAGTTCATTCCTCCATCAAAACATATTATGAAATAATGTGTAATAATAGTTTTTGTCATATCATATTTGTAGCATGCCGGAAATAAAAGTTATATGGTAGGATTTTGTTATTTGTATTTAAATAAAGATAAATCACCTACTATGATCTTTATTGAAGACAATATTTATATTTACAAGGAGTGTTTTTATTAGAGTATTGAAATCGTAATCAAATACTAGATAATTAGAATACGTTTTACTAAAAATAAATTATTTATTTTGTAGTAGACATAAATTAGAATTAGAATTGAAATAAATAAATATATGTGTCTGTGAGAGAGACTTGAAAATTTGGTTTGAAAAAAAAAAAAAAATCCTTTCTTATTTTTCATTCTAAATAACAAAAGTGAATTTTTTTTTTTTTTTTTAATTATAAGGGATGGGGATAACCTACATATACACACTACTTTCACCTCCTACTTAGGAGAGCAACCCGATACTAGTGAACTACAAGTCACTTAAACAAAAGTGAAATTTCATGATTAGAATCTTGTTTTAAGACATAAAAATAATAAAACAAACAATTAAGATAATTAAGTTAAAATTCTATAACAGAGTTTAAAGCTATGAATCATCAAACATACACCACAATGGAAAACTTATAATGTGACATGACATGATGTTGAGTTTACATATAGAAATTATTTTATAGCAACAATAGTAATAATTATAATAATAGTATTTCCAAAAAAGAAAAATAAAATAAAATAATTGAGAAGAAATAACAGGGAAGAATAATAATTATTTCCGCGCCCTGTTAAATCAAAATCAAAATACAAAATCCTCGCCAGTCCCCCACCCACTACCCACCCGCCGGCAGGTACCGTCCTCCGGCAACCATGGCAGATGACGACCAGCGGGTTTTAGATCTAGTCAAAGAGCTAGTCCACCGTTTACTGTACACCTCCCCGCAGTCTTCCACCTCCTCCGACTCTAACCCTAACCCTAGCCCCTCGGAGCAACAGTACCAGCAAGCATTCAAGTATGCGGTTCGCATCCTCTCGAGTCGCATGACTCCTACCATCGCCGTCGACGAGGCCTCCATGGCTGAGTCCATCAAGCGACAGTTGGCCACTCAGGGTAAGTCATCCGAAGCCCTCACTTTCGCTGATTTATATTCCAAATTTTCGTCCAAAACCGGCCCTGGAAGTGTTAAGAACAAGTGGGCCCTGCTTTATTTGATCAAAACCATCTCCGAAGATCGTAAGGCCCGAAAAAGCCAGCCCCTCTCTGGGGTGTCAGTTGGGGTTTTCAGCTCCGCTGTGAATGGGGGATTACCCGTGTTGTTTGATGGGCAATCAAACGGTTATTCTCGAGTTGGAAATGGTGCTTCAAAGTCTCTTGGTACATTGGATAATTCTGAAACTTTGAGGGCTTTGGATGGAAATTTGGGATATTCAACAAATGTAGGAAAAGTAGAGAAGTTTTCTGTTGATGGTGCTATGAGTGACGAGTTCCGGAATTTAAGGCGTCCGAGCGATAATTCAAGGGGTATGAGAGGCAGAGAGAACACAGAGAAGGGTTGGCATGGAGGGGTTCTAATGGTTTCAAAGGATCCGGAGAATTTGCGTGATATGGCATATCGGGAGTTTGCAAACTTGTTGAAAGAGGAGAATGAGGTGTCCGAGGAGGTTTTGGTGCGGGATATATTGTATGCTTGTCAAGGGATAGATGGGAAGTATGTGAAGTTTGATACTAATGCTGATGGGTATGTTCTGCCAGATTTGGTAAAAGTTCCAAGGACAACCAGGATTATGGTTAGGAAGCTCTGTGAGCTCGGGTGGTTGTTTAAGAAAGTTAATGGGTATAGTTCAGAGAGTATGGATAGGTTCCCTGCAGAGGATGTAGGCACTGTTGGACAAGCATTTTGTGCTGTGTTGCAAGATGAGCTTTCAGAATATTTCAAACTGTTGTCAGTGCTTGAATCTCAAGCAATGAATCCCATGCCTCTGGTTTCAGAAAATGCAAATTCAGGGAATTATTTGTCACTGAGAAGACTATCAGTTTGGTTTGCAGAGCCAATGGTGAAGATGAGATTAATGGCAGTCTTGGTTGATAGCTGTAAGGTTTTAAAAGGTGGAGCTATGGCTGGGGCAATTCATATGCATGCTCAGCATGGAGATCCACTTGTAAAGGATTTCATGAAAAGATTACTCCATCGGGTTTGTTCCCCTCTTTTTGAGATGGTAAGGACATGGGTTCTTGAAGGGGAACTTGAAGATATATTTGCAGAGTTTTTCATTGTTAGTCAACCTGTTAAAGCTGAGTCCCTTTGGAGGGAGGGTTACCGCCTTCATACTGCGATGCTTCCTTCCTTTATCTCTCCGTCTCTTGCTCAACAAATTTTAAGGACTGGGAAGTCTATAAATTTCCTTCGAGTTTGTTGTGAGGATCGTGGTTGGGCTGATGCAGCAATGGAAGCAGCAGCAGCAGCTGGCACCACAACTACTAGAGGTAGTCTCAAGTACGGTGAGACAGATGCACTTGAATCTTTGGTCACTGAAGCAGCAAAAAGAATAGACAAGCATTTACTGGATGTTATTTACAAAAGGTACAAGTTCAAGGAACATTGCTTTGCAATTAAGCGATACTTGCTACTTGGCCAAGGTGATTTTGTGCAATATCTAATGGATATTGTTGGCCCTGAGCTATCTGAACCTGCCAACACAATCAGTGCGTTCAAGCTGGCAGGCTTATTGGAAAGTGCAATCAGATCATCCAATGCGCAGTATGATGATAGGGATATACTGGATAGACTGAGGGTTAAGATGATGCCTCATAACCCAGGTGACAGAGGGTGGGATGTATTTTCGTTGGAATATGATGCTAGAGTTCCTCTAAACACTATTTTGTCAGAGTCTGTTATGGCAAGGTATTTAAGAATCTTCAATTTCTTGTGGAGGCTCAAAAGGGTGGAGCATGCACTTACTGGCGCTTGGAAGACAATGAAGCCAAACTGCATCACTTCCCATTTCTTCTCTAAGCTGCCGCAAGCTGTTAAGTTGCAGTTGCTTTTAACATCAAGGAAGTGCCAAGTTTTGTGGGATGAGATGAATCACTTTGTTTCTAATTTGCAGTACTACATAATGTTCGAAGTTCTGGAGGTATCTTGGTCTAACTTACTCAGAGAAATGGAGCTAGCCAAAGACCTTGATGATCTACTTGCTGCACATGAAAAATATCTATTTTCTATAGTTGAGAAGTCTATGCTTGGAGAACGGTCCCAAGCTCTTAACAAGACACTTTTTGTGTTACTTGACCTCATACTACGATCCCGGAGTCACGTTGATAGATTATATGAAGGCATTAATGAATTGCAATCTAGGTTGGTCTTTTCTCTGCAATTACGTTGCTTCTTATTTACTTGGAGTTCATTTAGCTTATTTCTCGTACTTGTTTTACTTGCAGATCTGCAGAATCATCTCTGACGTCTCAGGACCGAGTCAAATCACGAGGAAAGTCAAGTACTAAATCTTCGGAACCAGGTTCATGGCTTGGTGAGGGTAGGAAGGCTCTTACTAACCGTGTTGGTGAGTTTCTTCAAAACATAGGACAAGATATTGATGCAATTACGAAGGAATATTCATCCCTCTTTGAGGGGTTCATTTCACAATTGCCTGTGCAACAGCACATCGATTTGAAGTTCCTTATGTTCCGACTTGACTTCACTGAATTTTATAGTCATCTGCGTGGTAATATAGGAGAGAAGCTTCCATAGTTTCTCATTAAGTACAGAACATGCACTGACATTTAACCACTTCAACATCTTCCATTCATCAATTGCTAAGTGACACACGATCCATCTCTTTCTCTATGCTACCTTCCTGCTCTACCCCTTTGCCTTTGGGTACTGGGTGCAATGGCTTATCTTCATCTGCTGCCTAACAATTGCCGAGTTATCCTTAGCCTTTAGGTACTGTATGCAATGGCTTCATGTCATTACTCTTGAGGTTTTCAAATTTCTTTTTACTGTTTTACGAGTTCCTAGATAGGCTGGCAGGTTTATGTATGGCTTTTGTTCAATTGGTTTGTTGGATATTTTTGGCTCTACCAAGATTTAGTATGAGCTTGTTTATCTGTAATATATTTTTGTTTAGCCAGGTGAGTTAATTGTGTTTGGCTGCCAAATTGGCTTTTGTGGTTTCATGTATTGGCCTGAAGATGAGAAATAAATGGTGTTTTGTTTTCAGTGGCACTGTCTCTTGAATATAACTTCTAGCATTCATTTTATCCAATTCCAAATGTAGACATCAAAGAACTCAAAAATCTCATCTTCATTTTTCAGCATCATAGAGATTCAGTCCCTATTTTAAATCTTTTCCAGGTAAGGCCACAAGCAAGATCACAAAAGTAGACTGAAGCAATAACAATCTTCATTCATTTCCTTTCTTGTAAATGCAAAAACAAAAAGTCTGTCTTCTATATACACAAAACATTAGCGCAACACGATTTTAAGGAGGTCTGAGAGTGTTTTTAGGAGCGCTAATCCAAGACGAACCTCCAACTGCAAATCTCCATAATGCACTAACATGTTCAGGAGAAGCGTACTCAATACCAACTCTAGGACCGACAAGTATTTGTTCAGGCTCCGGTCCATCCAAAATTTCTAAACCACCTGGCCACATGCCCATATATAGTGAGTTCATATCAATTTCACTAAGTTAGCAATAACTTCGAAACAATAGAATGATGGGAAAGCTTACCTGCAGTGTATAGCGGATGGTTAGACCATTCCGTTGATAACCCTAATGCTTGACCAACCTGCAAAAGTACACAAAGCTTTCTAACATAAACAATATAATTCTGTCTAAGAAATAAAACTTAATATAACAAGAGTAATCACGAGAAACGTTTCCAATAGCATTTGCGTGTACAGAAGAAAAGGCAAAGGACACTAGCATTGATAGCAAGCAAGATGAAATTGTTCTGGAAGTTGTTATTAGTCAAAAAAAATAAAAGCTACTATGTTTAATCTCTCTACACAAACCAGGAATTTCATCTAAGACTTTGAAGAGATGTAAGCTAATGAAGTACTAAATCTTATATGAAATTGAGGTTGTAAAACACCTTTCCAGGCCCAGTAAGAAGAACAGGCTTCTCAGTTTCTAAACCACGTCGCCTTTGAATTGTTCCCAACCCTGCATATATAATTCCAACCATGTATATATTACAGTTACAGTGAAATGATATGAAAAGGTATTTATAATCCACAAGATAGATACAGATTAAAACTGTTTATGAATACATTGGTAGAATTACCAGTGATGGGAGCACAAGAACGAATCAAGACAGCTGCTCCAACACCTTCTTTGTCTGCTACAACATTGAGCATGATGTGGAGACCATAGCAGAGGTATACATATGCATGTCCACCAGGACCAAACTATTTCGAAGTTAATATAAAATGATCTTAGAAAGCTTCCATACATTCATTCCTCAAGCTATATTCAAACATAACGAAGCAATGCCATTTACCACACAATTAGAATAGCTTCAGTAGTTATTGAACAGGTTTAAGTTCTTACTCAGTAGGAAACCTTAAAAAAGTTTCCTTTTTAGGTTAGATCACGAGGTATCCGAGCAGACCCTAACTGTACGAGGGACCTTTAACCCCGTATTGCTTCATGTAGTCCAAATGATACCTTGGGTTTCATTTATTTATTTACTTTTAAAAAAAATGTAAAGAAAAATGAAAATTGAAGGCTTGAAATCTTACTACAGGGGCAGTTCTTGCTGTTACTCCAAATCGACCATGGCAAGCAGAATCATCAGGCCTATAAGCTTCCACCTACAACACACGCTTTCATTACCCAGCTAGAAAAAAAAGCCCATAAATCAATCAAGTTTTTATACACATGCTAATTGCCAACATATTATCAAGGTTAGGAGAACAGCAATAGTAGTACTTACCTCAGTAATTTGAAGAACAACATCGTCTCTCCTGAGAAACTTGCCGAGCAAACGCGGGGCGAGATCAAGTGCGTCGATTTGGAAGAAATCTTGGGCCAAGATTGGCCATTTATCCAAGAAGAGCGAGAGGGAGGAGCTAATTGCGGGGACGGGGTGATTTTCTTGAGAATCTGAACTAGGTTTGCGAATGGGTTTGCGCTTGAGTTTGAGGGGTTTGGGTGAAGAAGAATTGGTGGTTTTCTTTGAGGTTTTCGTGGTTAGCTTTCTAAGGGGCTGAGCTTTCTTCATGATGTTAACTGGAGAGACGCACAGCATTCATAGAGGCAAAAATGGCTACTTATTTGGGGGAAGAAAATGTTTTTTTTTCCCGATCACCGAGACTCCGAGAGGGGTTTTGTTTTGGCGGGTGTTCATTGTCGTTTGGATCCTGTATTTGTTGGATCTTTTCATTTAGGTGCCTAGGTTACTCATAATTACAATCGAGCCCACTACTTTGATTACCAAGTCTAGAATTATTATCAATGATAAAGTGTCAAATAAACTATTGAACTATTAGGTCATCCACATATGTGGATATTTGCACATTTTCTAACAAAAAAGAAGTCAAGTTAGCAGAGAGAAAAGCAAGAGAGAGGGGGGAATGAGGTTTTTTTTTTTTTGAAAAAGGGGGAATGAGGTTTCTCTGTAAGAAAGAAAATAATAACAGAAAAATGAGTCCCATTGAGAAGTGAGGCCAACTGCACCAAGCGAGTGCACGCATCTAATAGTGACTTTTTTTTTAATCAATTTTTTTCTCCCCTCCCATATTCTATTTCCTAATCACACTTATAAAAACTCCTCAAAAATCACAAAATATCTCCACTATTAGTGTTTGTGCATTTGAGCCATTGAACAAAAAATGTGTGCAATTAAACCATTTAACTCTATAAATTTGTGCAGATAACATTTTTAGCAGGTTACTTTCAGGTTAAGCATGTAAGATCGTAAGATGAATGACATGGCATTTTATGCGACAATTTTTAATATTCAAATCAATTTACTATGAGTTTAATATTAAACTCTATCCAAAACAAATCTCCAATCTTCTTCATCATCAACCTCTCTATCACTTTATATATATACTAATTTTAGTAATATAATTAAGTTGACAAGACAATGAAGACATATTTAATGTTATAATTTACTATTGTAGCATTTAATTTTAGTAATATAATTAAGTTGACAAGACAATAAAGACATATTTAATGTTATAATTTACTATTGTAGTATTTATTTATTTTAATAATTTTTATTATACATTTGGTGGGGTCTCATCGGCCCGCGGGTGTGGTAAGAGTATTTTTTTTTTTTTTTTTGAATGCTATAATGCTTTCATTGAGGCTCAAACTCACAACCTCTCATATGGAAGTCCAACCAGGGTGCAATTAGACCACAAGGTCTTGGCATATGTGGTAAGAGTATGTTAGAGAGTTATTTTTAATTTTTTAGAAACTTTTAAATGAAGTAAATGATGATAATAATACCATGTTAATTAATTGTTTTTAACAAAAATAACCTAAAAGCTTCCTAAGATATCAACCTTCATGTATTCTATGCTTTAATTTACCATTTTGTTTGGCGTCATTCTTCCTATAGTGTATTTTTTTGACGCTAAATAACCAAATTCACACATGAATTTTGAGCGTCTTTCAGTGAAAACCATCTGACGGTAATAATGTTACCGGTAATAATAATATTATAATAACGCTATGTGAGAGAGTAACAATAGTTGTATTGCTTTTGTCTCAGTATAGAAAATACAGTGTGTCCTTTGCTAGCTGAGGAGAGCCCCATTTATACTTAGAGTCCTAACGGTAACAACATGGGACATAAATGGGGAGCCTAAGCCTTTAATTCTCTCACTTCAATGGGGGCTTCAATGCTGGCTTCAATGACAGTAAATGTGGCACCTGTTGGAGTTCCTAACCGTTGGATTTCTGCCCGTTGGGTTCCCATGTGATGTTGAGTCGGATGCCCATTTGTGATCCGGGTCGGGTGCCAGCCCTATTATCCTGTCACCGGTCCCCCTTACTCCTGAGTCAACGGATGTGTTTGAGTTGACTTGGGAGTAAGGCTGAATCTATCTTGATCCTGTGTAGAATCCTACTTGATTTCAGATTTGTGATCTTATTTGATCCTGTGTAGAATCTGGTTGGTTTAGGATATGTGGTTTTATTTTCCAAATCCCTAATTTGTGCCTTCCAAATCCCTGATTTGTGCTTTCCAAATCCTTTCCTGCTTCACTTAACTTTTTTATCTCAGGCTCCTCTCCAATATAAACCCTTGTCTCCGAGCAGTTTGAGAGCACATCTTCAACAACTTCTGCCCCATCTCTGTAAGTCTCTGTTGTCATTATTATTTTACAATTTAATTATGTATTTAATGAATATACATGTCTTGCTCGAGGCGTCGCCTCGGCCTGTGGCTGAGGCGCGACCTCAGCCATCTGGCCGGGGAGTCGCCTCGGCCGTGGTTGAGGCGAGGCCAAGGCGTAGCCTCAGCGCACCCCCCTCCCCCCCCCCCCCCCCCCTTTTTTTTTTTTTTTTTTTTGCTTGGCCGAGGCATGCGCCAATGAAAGCACCAATGAAGGTAATAATGTTACCGGTAATAATAATATTATAATAACGCTATGTGAGAGAGTAACAATAGTTGTATTGCTTTTGTCTCAGTATAGAAAATACAGTGTGTCCTTTGCTAGCTGAGGAGAGCCTCATTTATACTTAGAGTCCTAACGGTAACAACATGGGACATAAATGGGGAGCCTAAGTCTTTAATTCTCTCACTTCAATGGGGGCTTCAATGACAGTAAAGGTGGCACCTGTTGAAGTTCCTAACCGTTAGATTTCTGCCCGTTGAGTTCCCATGTGATGCTGAGTCGGATGCTCATTTGTAATTCGAGTCGGGTGCCAGCCCTATTATCCTGTCTCGTCTGTATTTGTAAAGACGAAGGAAGGGACTTCAATTCTCTGATGGGAGGAGATTAAATCGTTGAATTGATCTCTCGGATGAGACTTGCCTTGGAAATTTCTTGTCTTTTTAATTTTCAAATAATTTTTTTAAAAAATAATGTCACGTTATTATTAGGTAAGAATCTGCACGTCATGTGAGGAGAGATTGTATGAATTTAGAATGATTGTGTATAGAAGCTAGCTACGCCCATCTCTTCTTATTCATAACTTTTACACCGCTCACTCACTATTCACTGGAGTGGTGAAAAATGATTTATACAAGGAAGGGAAGGGAAGGGAAGGGTAAACAGACAGCAATCCAACAGGAATGTGCATGCATCAGCATCAAGCCAATTGTTATGCCGTGCAAGGTAGACACTATTCTATATTCATGATTATTGAAATCTATGTTCATAGTTACTGAATGATATGTTAATTATAAACTCTATGTTCATAAATATAAAATTCTATGTTCATAATTTTTGAACTTTATATTTATAATTATGACAATTTTGGAACTTATTCACCTTAGAGCATTCACACTTGTGTATATTATGGGGAGATTTCAAAATTAATTCTTCTCAATGGGGATAATAACAAATGTGGGGTGGGGATAATGGTGGAGATATTCATCCTGCAAAATTGGGGAGAATGGCAGAAAAAGAAGAAAGAGAAAGAAAAGAAAAAAGGGGCTGCTGTGCGCGAATTAATTCTTCTCAATGGGGATAATAACAAATGTGGGGTGGGGATAATGGTGGAGATATTCATCCTGCAAAATTGGGGAGAATGGCAGAAAAATAAGAAAGAGAAAGAAAAGAAAAAAGGGGCTGCGCACAGCAGCCCGCCCACGCGCCGCTTGACCCTTTGATTTTTTTTTTTTTTTTTTATTTTTGATTTTGATTTTTTTGTTTTTTTTTTTTTCCTCTCCACTCTTACATTATCTCCCAATTCTCCCCAACCATTGTGGATGCTTTTACAAAGTGAAAAGTGCGAGGTGGACACGGTTCCACGGCATAATTTGCCGCATCAAGCATAGCATGGGAGGGTCCACATGGGTTTTGATGAAGGATGAAGCCCACTTTTTTTTTTTTTTTTCTAAATAAATGCAAAAAACATACATACTTTCAAAAGGGATTTCGTCGGTGGATAATTCCAGAAAGGTGATTGACAGGTGGAATTTGTAAGAATTATATTCGATCCACCCTATTTTCAAATTTTAAATTACCATTTTTTTAAAGTTAATATTATGTCGGGTGAGATGTGTGAGCCTTTAGAGTTGGAGATTCAACTTTTACAGAGTGTTTGGTTCACTGTAATTTAGCTGTAGTTGAATTGCAATTTAGTAGATGTCTCAATTACATTGTTCGGTTGGAGGGAATTGCAATTCTCTCCCTTTGTTGTCAATGAATTTGAAAAAGAAAAAATATATGAAATAACATTACTATCCTTGGTTGTTATTACTATTATTATTATTATTACACAATGATATTTTAGTCTTTATACCACTTATTTTCTTCCCAATTCCAATAATTTTATTTTTCCCTACCAAACAACGTAATTTGAATTCTTACTTTATTCTACCTTATTTTTTTTTCACCGAATTACAATTCATTTTTCCATAATTCATTCCTTCCAACCAAACGTCCAGTTATTGAAGTAGAATATGGAGTTTTTTGTTTAAAAACAAAAGGAAAGTGAAATCATTGAATTGGCACTTCATACATATATAAGTGGGTCTGGGTCTGGGTATGGGTCTCCATCATCTTAATGCATGAGAAGGAATAGACTGTTAGAACCAACTTTTTCATTATTTCCGATTTCTTCCTTCCTTCCTTTTCACTCTCATTATCTTTACTCCCCAACCAACCCTAACCCTAATGCTTCGTTTTCAATCACTGTATATTACTACTGTTCATAATATCCATTAATTTCAAATCAATAGTCTTTCATTTTTTTTTTTTTAAAAAACCATTTTTATTTGAAGGCAAGTTGATGGCGGAAGATAATTTATACATCATGCAATTTATGATATACTTCCACCGACAGATACTGCCAAATATCCCATAATTTCACCTATTTATTTCCCTTTATGGATATTTGCTAAATTTATCTTTCAAATCTCACACATTTACCAGGATGAACTACACAAACTACTTATAAAAGCTAATCCAAATATTGCACTTTTAAATAGTAAAATATGCATTTTTAATTTAAATAGTAAAATATGCATAATTAATGGTGACAAGTTATAAAAATGTCATTATGTATGTTTGGATTGTTTAATTATTGATCAAAATGATCCATATTAATTCTCATTTTCTACACTAATATTCATTCTCACATCCTTATTCATGTATATTTATCTCATTTTAAAAAGAGTAAATACCCAAAATGGTCCATCGACTATAGCTAAATTCACAAATTGGTCCTCAACTATTGATTTGAACCAATAAAGTCCTTGACTTTGCAATTTCTACTCAATATAGTCCTCTGTTAATTTCATTGTCAACTAGCTGTGAAATCCAAGGACAGACTCGTAATTTCACATGATTCTTTCGTTGAAGCCCTAATTGTTCTTCATTTCTTCAGAGTGCAACATTGGCTTCAATTCGATGGTGGAATCACCAAGTCATCACTCTTCTTCATCCCAAGTAGCGCACTGGTGGCTCCGAGCTTAATCAGCCTCATCATGTTGCTCTGCACCAAAGTTAAATGATAAAGCGTGAGGGCCGAGTCGTAGCGAGTCCGCTGAGTCCCTGTCCTGAGTGCGTGCAGCAGTGGCGGCAACGAAACCAAGACACCAATAGCCGTCTTATTGTCGTCCTCGAGCGCCAAACTGAAAATCGCGCCAGCGGCGTGCTCTTGTGACTCCTCGAACCCGCCATTCAGAGCATCAATCAACAAGGGAACAATCCCAGCCCTAACGATCTTCACCTTGTTGACTTTCGCGAGAGATCGAGAGGTTGCCTAATGCAGCGGCGGGCCGGCGGCGTTCGCCGGAATTTCGACCTACTTGGACATTATCAACAGCTTCAGTGTCGGTAAAAGCCTTGAAGAGCAAAGCGAGACTCTAGCTTCCTCGTTAGTCCTAGTCATATTTCTCAGCTCGATCACTGCTTCCTTACAAGAGAATTTACGAATCTATCCTTGGATTTCATGACCAATTGACGGTGGAGTTACAGAGGACTATATTGAGTAGAAATTTCAAAGTCAAGGACTTTATTGGTTCAAATCAATAGTCGAGGACCAATTTGTGAATTTAGCTATAGTCGAGGGACCATTTTAGGTATTTACTCTTTTAAAAAGTGAGTCATAATTTCAACTCACTTCTAAAAGTGAATCCGAATTTCAAATTCATATAATTTCAGTTTATTGGGCGTCGACCAAGTTCAGCTCCTACTCGATTCGAGACGTTACGTTGTGGTTTACCAAGAAAGGATGTGGTTAAATGATTAACGTCTACTTACTTATAACCAATTGGTTTTAAGTAAGATATGACAACCAGATAGCCAAAGAACTAATGTTGTTAAGTGTGCTATCACCCTAGCTAAAAATAAGCATTGTGCAGCGTTGAGATTCAACACAACTCACTTTAATAATAATAACAATAAAATAATAATTAAAAAACATAAAACAAATCGCAACTTTTGTACTTGTTTGCAAGTTTGCAAGACCAATGGAATAAGTGAATAACATAGAATTTTTTAAAAAAAAATTGTCATGTGGACTTGCAAGTGCCTCCATCTCAGGGATGGGGCAGCCTAAGTTTAATAAATATTTTTGTATTTTTAAAAAATATGATAAGGGATATAATAGTCTATTAATATATTCTAAAATAGAAATTCAATTTTATAAAATGAATTATAAATAAAATATTTAGAATGAGATGGGGGGGAGTATTTTGATTTTAAATGGTTTGTGACACCTGACAGTAGTGGCATCGTTGCTACAATGGCGCTGTAACTTTTTGTCTTCCGGTACAATTCTCTCTCCGCCGTGTTTCTGCGTAAAGTTTACACCGTACAAATACGCCTCCGCTTCTCTCTCTCACCCAATCCATAACTCTTCTTGGGTTTCCAGACCACCGCCTTCCCCAGATGGCTGATGCTGCAAAGTATGCTCCCATCAATGGCGGAAATTTACTTTCAGAACTGAAACCCCATTTCTCTTTTATCAAAACCCAGAGAACCAAGGTTTGTGTCTACGCCTGTGTCTTTGTTTTCATTGCTTTCACCATTTTCTTGGCCTTTAGTCCTTCGCCAGCCCCCTCTTCTCCTTGGTTCACAAATGTATTTTCTTTAACTAGCGGCGGCGGCGACGGTGATGGTGGTGGTGGGAGTGTATCCGATGACTCTTCTGGATCTCATTTCTCTTCGATTTTTTCCTACTTTTTCCCCAATTCTTCCCAGCAAGCCCACAGCTTTACTGCTTCCCCGGCATCTCGGAGTAACAGTTCCTCCGAAATGCCCAGTTTGAGTAAAGACCCGGAAGTCCCGAAAAATCAGTCTCAGGCTAATCATAAAGCTGAAATCTTGAAGCCGTCGAATCGGAACACAACAGCTGCATCGGAGTCTTCTTCTGGGTTGCATAATCAGACTCAGGGTAAAGTTTCCGATGATAAAGTTGGAGTCTTGAACTCAGATTCGAACCCATTTGAGGGCCAAAAGTCTCCGGCGAATCAGACTGTGGGTTCACTGCCAAAATCTGGTTCCGGGGAGAAGAATGTGACTGGTAAGGGAGAGAACACAATTCCACACAAAGGTGTGCTGCGGAACTTCACTTCTTCTTTTGAGAAGAAGCACAATAACAGGTCAAGTTCCGGCCAGCCGGCGAGAAATGGAAGTGAAGATTTGATTAAATCTTTGTTGGACTGTGATTTCTTTGATGGCAATTGGGTGAAAGATGAGTCTTACCCTCTTTACAAGCCTGGATCTTGCTCTCTCATTGATGAACAATTCAACTGCTTTCTCAATGGCAGGCCTGATAATGATTACTTTAAGTACAAATGGAAACCCAATGCTTGTACCCTCCCAAGGTATGTCCCAGAGTTCTTGTTTTCTAATCTGCAATTTAATATTAGTTTAATATTTTGGAGTTTGAGATGTACTTAATTGGGAACATAGACTATTGACTTGCTATTTATACTCTCTGGATTATATTATATCTGTTTTCTTAGCTCATCTGGACTTCTGGTATTGTGATTATGTGATTGTTGTGGACTTGATTTCAGATTGAATGCCACTCATATGCTGGAAATGTTGAGGGGGAAGAGATTAGTATTTGTTGGTGATTCTCTGAATAGGAATATGTGGGAATCTCTTGTCTGCATTCTCAGAAGCTCTGTAAAAGATGAGAAGAAAGTTTATGAAAAATCCGGTAGACAAAATTTCCGGGGAGAAGCTTCCTACTCATTTGTATTTGAAGTGAGTATTATTAGTGTAATATAATATAAGCCACTTTGCAGTTTCCGCTATTTCTGGTTTCTTACTGAATTGAAATGGATATGGATTTGCAGGAATATAACTGTACAGTGGAGTTCTTTGTGGCTCCGTTCTTGGTTCAAGAATGGGAGATAGCAGATAAGAAGGGACAGAAGAAGAAGGAAACGCTTCGACTTGATTTGGTGGCACATTCTGCAGATAAATATAAGAATGCAGACATTTTGGTTTTCAACACAGGCCACTGGTGGACTCACGAGAAGACTTCCAAAGGGTAAAAACATGTTTGGTTTTGTGGTTGGAATTTGGAAACGGATAATCTGTTGACTTATCCTCAATTAAGGTTAATGTTTATGTTCCAGGGAGGATTATTATCAAGAAGGCAGTCACGTGTACCATGAACTGAACGTTGTTGAGGCTTTTCGCAAAGCTTTGACTACATGGGGGAGATGGGTTGATACCCATATAAATCCCGCAAAAACATTTGTTCTCTTTAGAGGCTATTCCGCTTCTCATTTCAGGTTAACCCGCATTGCTTTCTTCTCTTTGAATCACACATTTCTTGCCCCCGTCATTTATCGTTTATATGCCTATCTTCCAACAGCGGTGGTCAGTGGAACTCTGGCGGGGCGTGTGACCACGAGGTCGAGCCAATTAAGAACGAGACTTACTTAACCCCGTACCCACCCAAGATGGAAGTCTTGGAAAGAGTACTCAACGGGATGAAGACTCAAGTGTCTTACCTTAATGTCACGAGAATGACTGATTTCCGAAAGGACGCCCACCCATCAATGTACCGGAAACAATATTTGTCCGAGGAGGAGCGGAGATCGCCATTGCGGTACCAAGATTGCAGCCATTGGTGCCTGCCGGGCGTGCCAGACTACTGGAATGAGCTCTTGTATGCAGAACTTCTTGTAAAGCAATACCAGAAAAGCAGCAAGAAAGCAGGTCATAGGTAAAATGACACAAATCCAGGCTTTTATATATACACACCTAAAGTTTATAGAAAAATGTGTATTAAATTACATTTTTTCATATCATAAGTTATTTGTAAGAGTAAAAAAAAAAAAGAAAATCCTGGGATTGTCCGGTTTAAGGTTTAGATCTTAAATCCGGGATTGAACGGGGACATGATCGATTATCGATATGATACATATATATGTCACATCATATATTTGTGATGTGAATGTTGTAAATCCATCCTTAGTGTAATACTTGTGAAGAGCAAAAACAATTTGTTACATACAATTATTGTGTTAAGAATATAATGTTTGGTGAAGCAATGCATGTGTTGAATCCACTAGCTACTGTATCCACTGTTGTCAAGATGCAGTCCATCTCTCTCTTGCTGTACTATTTTATTCTATTATTATATTCTTAACTGGCTTTTAGGTCACCTGTTACATTTTCATTTGGCTTTCCCTTTTGATGCTTTTGATGAATTTATATAGTTATGTATGTATATTATAGGAAGTAGCTTATCATCTTTTGTCCCTCTTTTCTTCTTCACATGGCCCCTATTGACCATCTTTTATAACTTGCTTCTGAGTTAAGGTTAGATTAATTTGCAATTTAACTTGTATTTTTTAGATAGAACATAGGTTTTTTTACCATGTTTTGTTTTGTTATTAAATAGAAAGATGTATTTTATGGTAACTAAAACTTTAAGTTATGCATTTATTATTTTATATCTTCTATGCTCAATATAATGTTGACTCATTTTTCAGATCGGGTTAAGAAGGAATTAAACTTGAATCAGGTTAAGAGATACTTCATTCAAATGAATTATTTGGACTAACTTAATATATTAGGCAAGTAAGTTAATTGTTTTTTTGAAAACCAAACTTCAATAAGATTAAAGAAATGTGCAATACAATTTAGAATAGAAGACAACCAATTCATAGGACCAGCTTGAGAACTAACAGCTCTAGCAAATGCGTGAGCCACTTTATTCGCTGATCTAGATAGAACCGGAAAGACACTGTCTCAAAGTGTCGTTGAAGAAGCTTGCATTCTCGTATCACACAGCCCGTGTAGGATAAATCCAATACTGAACTATTAAGCAGTTTGCATACCATTTGACAATCAGAAAAGATCTAATTTCATTGTTTTTAAGCAAAGACAGAGCCTCCTTCACATCTGACGCCTCTGCAAGATAGAAATGAACTTAATATATACCGATTTGTGCATGAATTAGCGAAGGCAGCTAGTACTCAGCGTGCCTCTGATCCCCATATTCGGTATCTCATTCGTTAATGTGTTTACTGTTTCGTTGGTTAAAAAAAAAAAACAGTTTCGTTGGTTTAAAAAAAAAACATAATAACCAAAGGTCAATGGTTCGATCCTTGGCTTTGGGAATTTAGGAACCTTTGGGGTCGTTTACTAACTGGCAATTTCCGAAAACTGAAAAATAGAATATAACAGAAAACATGTTTACTAACACAGAAAATAATTTCTGGAAAACTAGAACACACTTAAAAACTGTTTTCGAAATGGAAAACAGAATCATCTATCATCTATTTAGTTATATGTCACTATAACCACATTACTATGATTACATTCATTATCATCTTATTTTACTTATCACTATATTCTATCTTTTCTACTTAACTTATTTAAGCATAATTTATTTGCTTACACTTTAAAGTTAGACATTATTTACATTATCAAAATTAAGAATTAAACTCTATATAATGCTTTAGATTTTGATTGAACTCAATAGATTATTAGTTTGAATATTTTTAATTATGTTACATCATAATACAAGTTCGGTCCAGATATCAGATATTAAAATCTCACATATATTAGAATTCATAAAAGTTATATATTCATATACATGTCATTCAAATGAATATATCCAAAAAAAATATTTTAAATATTAGCTCAAAAATTATTAATATTATCTAAACTAAATTTTAGGTGAAAATTGAAAAATTAGAAAATAGAGAACAACTTTCAGTTAGTAAACAAGTTTTCTAAACAGAAAACAGAGAATGTAAAACTGAGAATGAAAACTAAAAAATTAGAAAACAGAAAACCGAGAATGTAAAACTGAGAATGAAAACTAAAAAATTAGAAAACATAAAACAGAGAATAGTTTTCTATTGGTAAACGGACCCTAAATCTCCAGGCCAGTTGTCCCACTCAAAAGAGGTGCCTACAATTCAACGAGCGGATTAGTCACTGTGTCGGACGGTGAAAACTCTGGGTATACCAAAAAAAAAAACATAATATATAGTATTTCATAATGAAATTATGGGATTGTGTCGGCAGATGTAACATTTATGTGGGTGTGAGGAGTGGTGATGGATGGGAACATGAGTGATATAATGCATGTTTGACTTAGAATTGGAAGTGATGCTTCTTTAGATCTTAAGCAACGTAACGTCTTTCTCATTGATTTGAAACTTTTCATGTTACCCTAACTTGATGGGCAACGTAACATCTTATACTTCAATTGATTTAATTTGCAAGCTAGTTTATGGGTTCAGGGTTCTTAATTACTTTCATGTTACCCTATTCCCTAGCTTCATGGAGGAGATGTTTTACACTTTTATCTGCACCTAATTTATAGCCACCTGGGATCTCACTTTCATCTTACTCTACCATCATTTACCTAAGTATCTAAACACCACAAATTATATTAGGGACTATGATCCACATTACAATCTGAATCGTATATACTACAAATGAACTTGTATTGAGAGAACATTTAAAAGACTAGCTATCTATATAAAAGGTCATTCACATCTTTGAAAGGACCGTAAAAGACAACTAGCCAGATTAAATTTTTATTTTTTATTTTTTAAAATTAGTAATTCACTCGGGTGTTGCACACAATATATTTTATATACTTATAAATATTAATAAATATATAATTCAAATTTTATCACCTTCATTAACATTAAAAGAAAAACATTAAATATATATATATATATATATATATATATATATATATATATACAATTAAAAATTATAAACTTAGTTAACAAATAGGTTTTTTTTTTTTTTAAATATACAATTTAATTTTTTTTTTGACAACTTAAACAATGTAAATATACAATGGTTTGCATCAACATTTCGTCAATATATTATAAGGGTCCTTAACATTTAGCTTGCCCATCTATTCCCACTTGAATGGGCAAGCACCGAGGAGCCACCTCTATTAAATGAGCCTTTTGTTTTCTCTTTGTAGCACTGTATTTTTTTTCTTTTAATATTAGGGGAGTTTTGGAAAAAGAATTATTATTATTTTCTAAATTGTCAATGGTAAACATTGCATTTTGTAGCGTTTTGTAATTTTAGCGATTTAGAACAAACTGTTGAATTATCATTTTTTTTAGACATTTTAATTTAGTCAAAACGTAAAATATGACTTATTCATAAAGAATTTTGACGAATTTGACATTTACCAAATAAGGTCACAGAGCAACATATGAGACTAATAAAAAAGTAACAATATTATTTTATAGGTTATCATGATATTTTTTGTTATTTTGGTGTCTATTTAAACAAGTTTTAAAAATTCAAAATAAATTATTAAATATTATCAAAATTTATAAGTAATGAATTGCAACGGTCGATTTCAAAAGCTACCATATTACCCCACCCCCGCAATTTCTTCGTCCTCTTCTCCCCTGTTCAGTGGAACTCGGCAGAGAAATGGAGGAATATGCGTGGCGGCAGTTACATTTATACCCGCCAGAATCCGATTTCCACTCAGTGCCAGTAATGCGATTCACAGGTGGTAAATTTCTTCGGTTCGTATATGGAGAGTCAAGCTTTCTGGCCTTCTGGGGAGGGCAAGGGGTTGGTCTGACACCGGTGGTGCGGCCTCCTCAGCAGTCGTTGCCGTCGCAACAAGCGTGTAATCGGATTTCATCTGGTTACATCGCATTAACGCAAAGGAGGTTCGCCAAGGCTTCTACACAGACGTGGTTAGTTTGTTTACCTACTCAAATTCAGCTGTGATATTAAAATGAGAAATTGCCATTGATTTTGCAGAAATTTGTTAGATACCATATATCTAGTTTGAATCTGCAATCTCCAAATTTAGATCTATATTCATTTCCTATCCTTGATTCCCCGGTGTTTGTATCATTAAATCATTGATTTTTCTGATGGAGTTTGCAATTTGTTAATTGTTATTAACCGTCTCGATTGAGGACAACGGTGGAGTTCCACCGAGGAATGAAAGGAATCCGGCGTTGGCTGGCTCCTGGGCGTCAAGGAGAAAATCATCTGGAAGTCTTTGTATTATGACTATGATTTTTCCCTCTCGGATGGAATACTTTAGAGATTTAGCTTTTGAAATTAGAAGATTTTGTTTCAGATTGGTTAAAATTTTTTGAAATTTAAAGATTCTCGATAAAGTTTTTGCTCTTGAAACAAGAGGAACAAGAAGATGACTGTTGGATTTGGTTCAACGAGTTGAGTTTTCCAAATCAGCATAAAATGTTAAAAAAAAAAAAGAAGAAAAATTCCAGCAATTTCCTCATTGACCGAGTTGCAAAATTTTAGCTTGTTTGTGAAGTAAATTATACAAGTTTAAAAAAGAAAATCAATGATCAAATTGTATTTTGACATTTAGTTCAATGGCACGTTTGACTCTTATTTTCAATTAAAATAATAGATTTTTCTTTATATTCTATTTTACAAAGTTTTCTTATCTAGCACCTTGACTGGGACAAATGGCCATTATTTTATCTTACAAATTAAAATTTTAATTAACTCCCCTTTTCTCAAAAGGGTGAACAATGTTTCTTGTTGAATGTTGATGATGACACAATCTAATTGAAATAAACATTTTAAAACATCTTTGTATGTCTAGTTGCACTAGGTCAGTAGCTGTTACAATTCAAATATCATATAATTGTAGTGTATATATGGAGTATACAAATTTCACCTGATGGTAGTAGCATCTTTGCTGTAATGGTACTGTAACTTTTTTCTCTTCCAGTGAATTCTCTTTGCTGTGTTCTGCATAACACTTATCACACGCAAAAAGGTCACACTGTACAAATACGGCTGAGCTTCTCTCTCCCCCATTGCTCTTCTTATGACCTCTGTATAAGCTGTAATTTTTATTATTTCATCAAGAACTTGCTTGGCTTGATATACACACTCTCCATTTCTTGCAGAACACCTGGAGACCATACCACCGCCTTCCTAAGATGGCTGATACTGCAAAGTATGCTCCCGTTCCCATTAGTGCTGGAAATTTACATTCAGAACTGAAACCCCATTTCTTTCTATTCAAAACCCAGAGAACCAAGGTTTGTCTGCACGGGTGTGTCTTTGTTTTTGTTGCTTTCACCATTTTCTTAGCCTTTAGTCCTTCACCAGCCTCCTCATCTCCTTGGTTCACAAATGTATTTCCTTTAACTAGCAGCGGCAGTAGAAGCAATGTTATTGGGAGTGTATCTATGCCTACATCATCTTCTTCGATTCTCTCTGATGAGGCATATAGATCTCATTTCTCTTCAAGTTTTTCTTACTTTTTCCCAAATTATTCTCAGCAAGCTCAAAACTTTACTGCTGCTCCCCCTTATAATGCCCCAACATCTCAGAGTAACAGTTCCTCTGAAATGATCAGTTTGAGTAAAGAGCCAGAAGTCACAAAAAATAAGACTCAAGCTAATGGTGAAGTTGAAATCTTGAAGCCATCAAACCAGACCACAACTGTGAATGCAACAGCTGCATCAGAGTCTTCTTCTGGGTTGCGTAAGGAGCCATCAACAGGAAGTAATCAGAATCAGAGTAAAGTTTCTGGTGATAAAGTTGGAATCTTGAACTCAAATTTGAGGACAAAAAGTCTACAGGGAATCAGACTCTGGGTTCACTTCCAAAATCTGGTTCTGGGGAGAAGAATGTGACTGGTAAGGGAGAGAATATAATTACAGAGAAAGCTATTGAGAAGAAGCACAACAATGTATCAAGTTCCAGCATGTCAGTGACACATGGAAGTGATGATTTCATTAAATCTTTGTTGAATTGTGATTTCTTTGATGGGAAATGGGTGAAGGATGAGTCTTACCCTCTGTACAAGCCCGGCTCTTGCTCAGTCGTTGATGAGCAATTTGACTGCTTTCTCAATGGAAGGCGTGATAGTGATTATTATAAATACAGATGGAAACCCAATGCTTGTACCATCCCAAGGTATGTGCCACACTTATGGTTTTCTAATATGCAATTTAATTAGTTTAATATTTTGGAGTTTGAAATGTTACTTAATTAGGAACATTTACTCTTAACTGATATACTTTGTATTGTATGAACTTGCTATTTATATTCTGTCAATTATATCTGTTTTCTTAGCTCATCTTCTCCATTTGCTTTCAAGGTTTTTTAACATGTCTTCATCTTCTGTAGATTTTATCTTTCTTGGCTAATTTGGAATCCATTTGCTTTGAGAAAGTTGATTATATTGCTTTCATGGATATATGTCCTCATCTGGGTCTTTTTGGTTGAGTTAGTTTGGGATAAGAACTTGTGATATTCTGATTATGTGATTGTTGTGGAGTTGATTGCAGATTGAATGCCACTCATATGCTGGAAATGTTGAGAGGGAAGAGATTAGTATTTGTTGGTGATTCTCTGAATAGGAATATGTGGGAATCTCTTGTCTGCATTCTCAGAAACTCAGTAAAAGATCAGAAGAAAGTTTATGAAAAATCTGGTAGACAACAATTTCGCATAGAAACTTACTACTCATTTGTATTTGAAGTGAGTAGTCTAACATAAGCCCCACTTTGCAGTTTCTTTTTGTCATCATGCTATTTCTGATGTCTGTATTTGATATGCAGGAATATAACTGTACAGTGGAGTTCTGTGTATCTCCTTTCTTGGTTCAAGAATGGGAGGTAACCGATAAAGAGGGACAGAAGAAGGAAACACTCCGACTTGATTTAGTCGAAAATTCTGCCAATAAATATAAAGATGCAGACATCTTAATTTTCAACACAGGCCACTGGTGGACTCACGAGAAGACTTTCAAAGGGTAAAAATGTTGGATGTTGGGAATGAATAATTGATTTTAACTTATTATCCTTAGAAAAGTTGAATAAACAACAACATTGATGTTTCAGGGAGGATTATTATCAAGAAGGCAACCACGTGTACCCTGAACTGGATGTTCTTGAGGCTTTTCAGAAAGCTTTGATGACATGGGGAAGATGGATTGATGCCCATATAAATCCTGCAAAACAGTTTATTGCCTTCAGAGGTTATTCCGCATCTCATTTCCTGTAAGTAATCTATTGAGTCTGAGGTCCCAAAATTTATAATCTCTTCTCAACCCGCATTGCCTTGCACTCTTGGAAACACAAGAATTCTTGGTCCATTCATCAGCCTCTCCTAATTTTTAACTTGAATATATTCTTCATCATTTGGCTATTTGTATTTTGTGCAACAGTGGTGGTCAGTGGAACTCTGGCGGGGCGTGTGACCGCGAAGTGGAGCCTATAAAGAATGGGACTAACCTAAAACCATATCTACCCATGATGGAAGTGTTGGATAGAGTATTGAAAGGTATAAAGACTCCAGTTTCTTACCTTAACATCACAAGAATGACTGATTTCCGAAAGGATGCCCACCCATCAATGTATCGGACCCGAAATATGACCAATGAGGAGCGGCAAACTTGGTTTATTCACCAAGACTGCAGCCATTGGTGCCTGCCCGGCGTCGCAGACAACTGGAATGAGCTCCTGTATGCACAGCTACTTGTGAACCAATACCAGAAGCAACAAGAACAACAAAGCAGCAGCAGAAGATCATAGGTAAAATGACACAAGCCAGGCCTGAGGTTTTTTATTGGGGCTCATTGTTCTTTGTCTTTTAATTTCTCAGTTTTCATTCTTTAATTTTTCTTTTCTTGTTTAAAAAACTTGGGCATGTCTCGAGTTTTTCTGGAAAACTGGAGAATGGGAGAACAAAAAATAGAAAACATGTTTACTAGCACAGTTTTCCATTTCTTAAAACAAGAAACAATTTTGGAAAACATTTAAAAATTGTTTTATAAATGGAAAACAGAATCATCCATCATTTATTTGGCTGTATGTCTGCTTACATATTTATTCATTACTATAATTACATTCATTATCATCTTCTTTTACTTATTACTATCTTTTATCTTTTCTATTTGCATTACTTATTTAAACATCTTATTTACTTATGTTTAAAGTGCATTATTCACATTATCAAAATTAACAATTGATAAGTTTGGTTTGGATATTTTGATTGAACTCAATTTATTATTGGTTCGAATATTTTTAGTTATGTTATACGTAATACAAGTTTGGTCCTGATATTTAATATTGAAATTTCACATATATTATTATATTATAATTTAAAGTAAAAATTATATATATTTATATACATGTCATTCAAATGAATATATCCAAAAGTATTTTAAATATTAGCTCAAAAAATATTGATATTGACTAAATAGGTTATTGGTTCAGTTATATTTTTAGTTATGCTATATATATAGATATAAATATAAATTTGGTTCATATATCAAATCTAAAATTTTTATATATATTGGCTTGAAAGTAAAAATTATATTTATTCTATTTAAACCAAATATATTTTAAAATAGCTAAAGTTTTTTTCAAACTTATGCTTTTTGTTTGTTACCCGATCTGCGAATATGGTTGCCAACTTGCTCACATGTTAGCTCGGGAATTCCTTTTCACGTCTGACTGTATGGATTGTTATTTGATATCTTTTCCCTCTATTGTTCTTGCTTTGAGCTTTGACTCTTCTTAATGCATTATTGTTTTTGTTCTTTAAAAAAAATATTTTAAAATATTTTAAATATAAAGTTTAAACATCATTTGAAATTGAATTTGTGTTAATTTTATAACGTTAACCTAAAAAAAATAAATTTGAAAAAATAAGTGTTAAGTAAACAAATTTTCTAAACTGAATGGACAATTACTGACTAAAAGACCAATTGTTTACTTTTTTTTTTTCTTTTTTTTAAAGAAATTGTCATATTCTGTTTTTCTTTTCTCTTTTCCTTCCCTCTTTTCATTCCTGTGTGGCACCTAAAAGATCACAAAATTTTAAACTATTGCATTTGGTATGAATGTTGTGAATTCATCCTACTGTAATTGTAATAGTTTTATGTTTATGAAGAAAAGTAATTTTATATATACTTTCATTTTATATTCTATTTTTTATTTCTTATAATATAACTTGATTTAATATAAAGAGGTCATGATTTTAATTCATTTATTCTTTTTTTTTTAATTTCAATAAAATTTAAACACAAATAAGGGTAGGTTGAAGTACTCCGTAATATTTTTGTATGAAGAATAAAAACAAATTATTATGTTGCATCATTATCTTGGTACGATAATGTTTGCTGGACCATGCGTCCGTGCATGTCAGTGTATCCATTAATAGTTGACTTTTTTTCTATCGTCTAGTTTGAGAATGTTTTTTATCAATAAAAATATTTTAAAACTTTTTTTTTTATATTAATAGGCTATTTTCATTTAGTAACATCTATAATGTATGCTATGGTAGTAGTCACTAATTAAGAGATATTTTAGCTGAAGTTATAGCTTGATTTAAAGCTTGTGAGAACAAGTAATAAAGTGCACAACAATAAATGAAATTTTTTAGCTAATTTTAGGGTCATTCCCCAGCGTCCGCTTGGAAGAGATAACAAGTCTTCCGAAGCTTCTTCAAGCACAATCATCCAGCTACCCTTCACTAGTCCACCCACATTTACCATGCCTGAACTTGCTTTCCTAGCCCATTCGTATTAAGTTTGACCCAACCTCCCGCAGGCGGGATCCATCCCACCCAACGAGCTCTTCAACTTTCCACCACCTCTTTCTTTATCATCTGCTCTTTCGCTTCCTTTGCCAGACTCGTGGCTTTACGGACAACCTCGTCTTCCAAATCCTCCGCTGCAGCCGCATCCCGGACAAGCTCGTAAGGTTCCTGGCGAACCCCGGGTACACCTTCGTCGGGGTCGCGATCGACGGCGACTTGGTTAAGCTGGCGGAAGACTACAATGTGTGGGTGAGGAATGCGGTGGATTTGCGTGCCCTAGCTGTGCGGCGGTCCAACAATTCGTCTCTGAGGAATGTGGGGTTGAAGGATCTGATGAGGATTTACCTGGGGGTGCAGATGGAGAAGCCCCGATGGGTGACGATGGGGAGGTGGGATCAAGAGTTGCTAACCACAGAGCAGATTCAGTATGCCTGCATTGATGCTTTCGTGTGCTTTGAAATTGGCAGGATTTCGAATGCTTCTTTTGCCTATTAGTTAGAGTAATCACTAATATAAATCACTATATGTATATGGATGCTGCTTTATTTTATTTCCCTAATGTTAGCAGCAGCTGTTATCTTTGTTCCTGCTGCTTTATTTTATTTTCTTGGTTAACCGTACGTGTGGTATGGTTGGCTATGGCGGAATCCCTTCTTGCAATCTGACCTAATGATTATTGTGAAGGCAAAGGGGACCGTGGTTCGCATTGGGGAAGTTTAATTTGTGTCCGGGCTACAACATCAAGTTTTTGATTAATTTATTGACACTATAATTTTAAGATTTGAAGGTTTCAATTGATCTAGGGGTGAATAAACTTATTAGAATTTTAAAATTTATTTGCAAAGTGAAATTAAATAAACTTGATATATAACTTCATGAGTTAGTTTTCTCTATCCCCAAAAGGAAAAGACTTGCAAGATAGCATTGTTTTTACATCATTGTCCAACTTGAACTCTAAAATGGTTGGAACATTTTCCAAAGAAACATCCCATTAGCTCCAATTGAACAAATTTACACATTAGAATTTTATCAATGCATGAAAACTTCTAAAGAAACTTGTAAGTTAATTTTTACTATATCATTATAACAATATCTAGCATTATTACAAAGTTGCAAACATTTATTTTAGTGACAATTATAATCAATCTCTCATATATTATCTTCAATTTATATACTTTAAATTACTGATTTAAATAAACAAATTCAACATTTATTTACCTATGCATGAACATCTCCGATAAAATATTGCATTGATATACTTTGAAATACTTATTTAAAAATTTTAAAATAATCATTGGGCATTATCCCATTCGCATAAAGTGCGTAAAAGAACTAGTTTTAAATATGGGCTAAAAATTAATTGAAATTAAACTTGTCAACGTTAATCTAAAAAATTAAATTTGAGAAATTTGTTTAAAATATAATTTGAACGTTAATCTAAAAATGAGTTAATACTCAAAATTGTCTCCGACTATAGTGCATGGATTTTCTCAATTTCGTCCTAAACGACTTTGGTGTCCTAATATAGTCCCAGAACTTTTGTGTTTCGCTCAATTTAGTCGTCTGTTTGTTATTCCGTCAAATTGGTGTTAAGTAAAGGGACAATTCAATAATATCAATATTGACCTCTTTTTACTTTCAACCTGAGAAGTGAGAAATCCCTCTTTCTTGCACGAATTACACCCAAACTTACGAATCAAATTTTATATTCGCAGGTTTAGGAGTGATTTTGGGAGTAATTCGTAAAAAAAGAGGGATTTCGCACTTCACATGTCTATGAGTAAAGAGATGTCAATATTAAAATGACTGAATTGTCTATTTTTCTAACAACAAATGGACAGAATAACAAATGAGGACTAAATTGAGCAAAAATACAAAAGTCTAAGACTAAATTAAGAAAAAACACAAAACTCTGGGACTACATTAAGTCACCAAAGTCGTTTATGATAAAATTGAGAAAAACCACTATAGTCAAGGACGATTTTGGGTATTAACTCATCTAAAAATCTTACATCCACATTTTTAATTCTCATTAGTTGTCTAACTTTATTAGCTCACATTGTAATTATATTCAAACATACTTTCTCAACCTGATGAAGCACACGGAGTCAACGACACCTTCACTGAGACTCGATCTCATGACCTCATGTTCAAACATACTTTCTCAACTTGATGAAGCACACAGAGTCAACGACACCTCCACTCTGAGACTCGATCTCATGACCTCTCCCACATGCCATCTGAAATATAAAGGTAGATATTGTAGATATAGATACAAACACACAAAGGTGGTATTAGATAGATTACCTTATAAAATGTAATCATATGAATGGGATAATATGACATTCAATACTAATTAGGGCCAAATTAAATGATAATTAAGTAATTTGGAATATGGTTTCCCTTTTTCATGGGCGTTAAGCCGTTAAGAATTTGGAACGCCTATATATGGTAACCAGTCCACCACCTTCCTCCGCACTGCTTCCCTCTCTCTTCCCCTAAAAATCCTCAAAACCTCCATGGCTATGGAAATTGGCATTGTTGACTACGTCGCCGGATCCCCCGACCTCTTCAACGTTCAGTTCCAAGGAGACTGTATCAGAACCATGGTCACCCATGAACCCCGAAGGGTCGTCGACTGGATCACCGAGGTGGAGCCATCCATCGCCACCGTCTGAACCACCTGATCGTCGGCCTCGACGCAGAGTGGCGGCCCAGTTACTCCAAACTGCGGAACCCGGTGGCGACTCTCCAGCTCTGCGTGGGGCGGCGCTGCCTTGTCTTCCAAGTCCTCCACTGCAGCCGCATCCCGGAAAAGCTCGTAAGCTTCCTGGCGAACCCCGGCTACACCTTCGTCGGGGCCGCGATCGACGGCGACGTGGAGTTGCTGGCGAAAGACTACAATTTATGGGTGAGGAATGCCGTGGATTTGCGTGGGCTAGCTGTGCGGCGGTCCAACGATTCGTCTCTGAAGAATGTGGGGCTGAAGGATCTGGTGAGGATTTACCTGGGGGCGCAGATGGAGAAACCCAAACGGGTGAGGATGGGGAAGTGGGATCAAGAGTTGCTAAGTACAGAGCAGATTCAGTATGCATGCATTGATGCTTTCGTGTGCTTTGAAATTGGCAGGATTTTGAATGCTTCTTCTGCCTATTAGTTACAGTAATCATTAATGTAATTCACTATATATATATATATATATATATATATATATATATATATATATATATATATATATATATATATATATATATAGATTTTGGATCCGGTGAGGTCACCATTGGGTGAAATCGTGAGGCTCAATCATCGTGAGGCTCAATCTTGTACATTTATTTGTATCTTTTGGCTCTCTAGATTTAATGTTGTATATAGCCACATGCACTGATGGTTGGTAGAGTTAAGGGCTTTAAGGTCTTTTGTTGATATCTTTATTAGTATATATTAATTATTTAGCCAATTTCATGGGTTGTGCTGGGTTAATTATGGTCTAAAATCACATGTCAGGATTTTGCCATCTCTTCGCATCCTTTTCTTCGCGTGGTGTTTCTTTTCCAGTAAGTTTTGTAGGCCTCGTTCTCTTCTGTTGTGCGTTTCTTCGTTTCTTCTCCGTCCATTCTCTCTAGGGAAGCGCCGACTCCGTTACTCTCTGTCCATTCCGTCCAAGCAATCGTCATGGCGGGTTCTACCTACAGGCGGTTCAAGCGTCAGAGGGGTGGGTCTTCCGATTCTATTCCAGGTATTCCGGTCACCGTTTTAGTTTGTTTGATGTTCTTTCGTTTTTTTGTTGTTTTGTATTGATGTTGCATTTTTACGGCGATGAGAGCAATGCCGGCAGGGTTCTTTGGTCTGTTAGTTTCCGGGTTGGGGGTGAGTTTTAGCCTGGTATTAGGTTTTTTTTTCGGCATTTTTTCGCGGGTTCTTCCGTCTATTGCGCTATTGTTTTTATTTTGGAAATGGCGTTTTCCGGGCTGGGGGTTCTTTGCATGGCTGTCAAGTTTCAAGAAAAACGAATAGCAGAAAAAGTTTTTGCAATGAATTCTTTCCTATTAACTCTCCAAGACTCTTATCTATTTTTTAGTGAATTTCTTTGGCTTTTATTGCTTTAATTAATGCAGGAAAAGTTTTTGCAATGGTCAAGTTCAGCTGGGGAGGTATTCATATCCAGCTATACTAGCAGTTCATCCTTCTTCCTATACACCTCCAGTGGCTCTAAGTAGGTTCCATCTTCTTTCAGCAACTCTCTTTAGGTACTGCTTAATCCATCTTTCATGTGGTTCTTTAAATTGGATAAATTATATTGATGAGTAGCCAGTACGCCTCACTTCACAGGTCATGATATTTGTTTTGTTTGCCAATTAACGGTTAGTGAATATCGAATTATATTAATAGTTTTGACTAGCTGATTGTCTTAGTAATTCGTAAGAGGATCTTATAAAATCCATTTTGTTCCTCCATAACATATTAACACTACAACACTACTCAGCCAGTAAAAGTTGTGATCAATGTGGGTTGTGCGAATCAACAATGTGGCTTGTGCGGTCGACCTTGACGTATTTCGATGTGTGCGGGACAAAGTTGGCGTGTGTGCGTAGTCTAACATCATATTGAAGTGTATGCATGCTAGTAATGGAGTATGTGCATATTAAGTTGTTGCATTTATTATTATATGGCCATAGCATATTAAGGGCGCGCATCAACATATGGTTTGTGCGCACAAAGTATTGGGCGTGTGCATTTTCTATGTTAGTATTTTGGACCTTTTTGGTTGATTTGCGCGTTTAACTTTGGTGCGTGTTAATTTCCAGGAAACAATGCTGATGAAGAACGGTGGGATTTGCAGCTACTGTTGCTGAGAATCAAGAGTAGTTACAAATATTTGATAGTTACGATTATACTTCTCATATTTATTTTTGGTCATATTGATAGGTAGTCATGGAGAGTAGGTTGTTTATTTGAGAATTGTTCTAGCTATATAGATCTTTCTGATAATACACAGCTCTATATATGCTTTTATGATTTTACCAGCCATTTGAATCTAGAATTGTCCTACAGTGCAGGATTGGGAAGATGGATTTAATGATACAACAACCTTGCAAGAAAATATATGCCGAGTAATTGGTTGTGTGCGCGGAGTTATTATTTCTTACATCAATTCAGATGTATGCATTAGATTGATATACTGTGTCTGGGCTCGTTGCTTTTTTGGACTGGTGTATAATGATTTTTGTGTTTTCATGGTTGGCATTTTATTGGGTGTGTGCTTAGACTAATATAATGTTTGGTGTGAGATGTGTGCGCGTTAGTAGTTGGGTGTGTGTGTAGACTAAAACACACACGCCATGTAACAAAAACGCACACACCCATGTTCCATTGAAAAAAAAAAAGGACACGTCATTCCCCATAAATGAACAACCCACTTGTAAAAAAAAACCGTGGCCTACATGTTACAAAGTACCATTATAAATAATTTGCAAACGCCTTTCCTCATAACTGTACACATCACCCTCAAAAAAAAAAAAAAAAAAAAAAAAAAAAAACACCATGAGGAAGAGTTCCCTTGCCAACAACTTGCACACGCTGTTCGCCACAATTGTACATACAAGAACCTACAGAATTTTTTAGAACCAAAATAAAATTTTAAAAAAACAAACGCCAATCACTATAAATGCACACACCCTAATCACGACATAGACATATTGAGGAACATGATTAGCAAATGTCAATTCATATGTTTACCAAAGTGGTTTACGGCTAAGATGGAGATCCCAACATAAATTGTTGTATGCATATCCACTGATCTGATAATGTTCTGATTCATTGTTATTGATCATACCATTATAAATAATTTGCAAACGTCTTTCCACATAACTGCACACACCACCGTAAACAAAAAAAAAAAAAAAAAAAAAAAAAAAAAAAAAAAAAAAAAACACATGAGGAAGAGTTCCCTTGCCAGCAAATTGCACACTCCGTTGACCACAATTGCATACACAAAGACATACAAAATTTTTTAGAACTAAAGTAAAATTTTTTTAAAAAAACACACGCCAATCACCATAAATGCACAGACCCTACTCTAAAAAAAACGTATCGACTGCGAAATTGCACACGCCGTTACACAACAATGCACAAACCTGCGAAGTATTTACCTAAATTAAAATTAAAGGCGCACTTTTCCGCGGTTTTAGACGCCATTCTCAAACTCTGTAGAATTTTAGATTACACCGCTGATAATATGTTTGAATCTTTCAACACAAAATATAATTAATTCTTACCATTGATATGATCCCTAATATTATGATAAAGATTGTATTTTAATTATAACCAAAATTAAACACCATATTATATTTACTCTTTCACCCTTCTCTAGTTAAAATCTAGCCTTATTTAATTAAAATTTGACTTTCAATCTCATCCATCCATTGAAATTTAATTAATGGATAAAATGAGATCTCATGATCTCATCTATCTAGGGGACCTCACTGAATCCGAAGTCTATATACGGCTGCTGCTTTATTTTATTTTCCTAATGTCAACTGCAGCTGTTATCTTTGATTCTGCATGCAACCGTGTTCTTGTAGGAGTGTTATTAATTAATTAGTATGTTGATTGGGTATTATAATATATATATATATTTTGAGTACTTTTTTGATTCTATTACAATTTACAAGTAATATCTGTTCTATACTTTGTTTATCTCAAAATCAAAAGTGTCAATACTTTGAAATTTGATCTTATGACATTCTCTCGAGGTTTAACATTTCCTCAAGGAGAGTTTAAGGTAGATGTGTCATCCAAACACGAGTCTTATGCTTGGCGGGTATTATATATTGTATTGTCTCTTTTAAGTAAAATTTTGAACTAAATCAATTTAGAAAATCTCAAATTTGGATGAATCTAACCTACTCCATTAGTGAAAGAAAATTTCGAAATTTTAGAATCAAAAATCCTAAAATGAAGATAATGAACAACCAAACATGAAGGAAAAGATTACATTGATTTCCCAAAAATCAAAACCAAAATCAATTCAAGCAACACAAGCTGTGCCGCGCCGCCGCCTGCGCTAGCTGTTGATCTATTTCTGCATAACATTTTTCAGTCAAAATTGTCACTCTCTTTGATGGGATAATTATAATTATAATTTATAAACAAAAGACAATAACAATAATACCAACGACCAAAATCGTGATATCTACATATACATGAAAACGTGAAAGTACATTAACTAAAACCATTTGGCTAAAGAAGTATTATATTTCTAGTGTTGTTTACTTTTTTAGTGTAATTTGTAAATTATTATATAAGTGCGGTATCTAGTAAGTGGATATACGTACATCATAAGATATTAATTGTAAATTTTACTAGTCACTCAAAAAAGAAGAGACAAATTGTAAATTTTATTAGTCACCCAAAAAAGAAGAGACCCGAGAAGATTGGCAACGGAAAATTAACATTCAGATTTAGGTAGAGACCGAGCGGTATTAGTGGCGGCGGCAGACGGTGTAGTAGCGGCGGTGCAAGAAGGACAGATATTGAGAGTGGTGGCAGGAAGGTGGTTGTAGAAAGGGTGTGAAGTAGTCTTCAAGGCTCTCAATTCTTGAACCTCTTTTTGTAACCTTTTATTCTCATCTCGAAGTGTCTCGCAACACCTCCTTAAATACTCGCAATCTACCTCCGTCTGCTTCAACTTTGTTCTGCACCCATTTCATACATGTTTAATTTTCCCATATCAATACATACATGATACATCCATCAACTTAACCTTATTGTTATCAAATTTATCTTTTAATTTGTTTTTAATTAGTATATTCCATAGTACAAGTTTTCGTAATTTAAATATTACTAACTTTTGTAAACTATCACTTTTCAAAAAAAAAAAAAAAAAAAAACTTTTGTAAACTATCTAGTTTAAGTATCTGTCAAAAATGAAGAGTCAACTTAGAAGGAAAAAAAATGTTTGGTAAATAGTTGTTAGATAATAAGGTTAGTGAATTTGACTAGTTGATAGTATTAACTGATTGTAGAAAAATATTTGGTAAATTAATTGTTAGCTAATAGTTGATTACATACAAAATTACTTTATCAAAAAACTATTTTGACAAATTTTTTGAATTTTAACATTTTGAAAGAATAAACTGTTATTAAAAGCTAATTAATTAAACACTCATATTGATTATTTAACCTAGTCAAATAGTTAATAGTGATCAAATAAATTAAAATTAGCTGATAATCTAACTATGTTACCCAACACAGAGCAAAAAACATCTCATTTGTTTATTTTTAGAAGTTACTCTAAACACAACTAATAGAATCTTTATAAGATGGGAGAGAGTATAATGGTACATCATATATACCCTACCAGTTGTTCCTATTAAAAAAGATGAGATAAGGGGATAAATTTAGTAAATATTCCATAAAAATATACTCTAAATAGTTAAACTAATAATAGCCAGAAACTTTTACGGAGTATCATTTTTGAATTTCATTCTTTGTACTGATCGAATCTTTACTAAATTAAAACTTCTACAGTTAAAATATGACTTGTTATTATTAATTAGTACTATATTTAGGATATGACAGCCATTATTTGACTATGCCCCATCACACTAAGTCACTAACTATTCTTCCTATGATTTAAATTTTAATAAAATAATACGTTCTGTCTTAATTAAAAAGATACTCCGTAATATTTAATTTTTAATAATATAATTAAAAATTTAAATAAAATTATATTTTATAATTTAGATACGACTTAACGGAAAATATAGCATATATACCTTGCTCTTCTGTTCTGAAACCATACTTCTACTTGGCGTGGACGAAGATTTAACTGCTTTGCCAGCGCAACCTTATTCTTCTGCAAATAATAAAATCAAATGTTCTTCCAGAGATAGATATTTATATATATTGTTTAACTTTTTGTAAATTGTATTATATTATATGTAAGGATGATTAATATAATTAATTAGGATTGTGATATGATGACGTACTGGATTGAGAGTGGAGTGTTGTTTGAAGGTTTGTTCAAGAAATGCGGACTGTTGTCTGGTAAGCCTCAGCTTTTTCCGGCCCAAACCGCCGCCATTAATCTCGTCGTCTTCATCACTGCCTACAGAGTTATTGTTAGAGGAAGCTCTTCTCTCTGTCATCATATCTCTCTTCCTAGACCACCATCTCACATTTTTTCTGCCCGTCGCCGGAAAAGACGACGCGCCGCTGGTGTTGGGAGATGACAAGAATCCCGGTAAATTTGACAAGAATCCCGGCTCAGAACCCACTGCGTGTATGTTACACCAAAACCAAACAACGTACGTAATTAATTAAGACTTAAGAGAGGCAAAAATCGGAAAACAACAAATTAAAGAAAATAAAGAAGAGGGAATTATATTATATATATATATATATATATATATATTATATTACAGTTGTGGGATAGCCATGGAAAACGAGGCTGGGCGGCGGCGCAGGGAAGCGGCGGCGGAGAGAGAGGCAGAAGAGCGAGCTGCAGCGGCGGCTCTTCATCTCCTAAAGCAGCCATGCAAAACCCTATATTATTATCTTTGCCCCTCCTCCCATTCTTTTGATCTTCATACGCAGAAGCAGAAGCAGGGATTTGAAGAAACGAAAATGGCTTCAGGGTTGGGATACTGTTGCTATCCCCTCCTACGCTCAAACCCAACTCCATGAAACAAAGCTAAGCTAAGATGAAAATCAATTTGATGAATTGAAAGTAGTTATAATTAGGTTGGGGAATTGAAGAAGAAGAAGAAGGTGATCGAGTGAGTATTTTATATATAGGAATTAGGAAGTAAGAATGGCATATAATATATATTGGTAAGCTAGTCAATGTATCCACGAGATTCCATTACTTGAATGATTGAGAATTAGTAATAATGATAATGATAATAATGAGTAATGATGACTGAAATTTCTACCGTGCTAGCTTTAGCAATCAATGCTGTCTATTTCTTAGCCTAATATTTCCAACTGATCTGATCGGAGAGGTAGAGATTACACAATATAATATTACAACTTTAATGTCAATTGCTCCCATTATATTTTATTCAATTACTTATAGTTTTGATCTAATTCAAGAAATTACACTTCACAATCAATTTTATTTTTTTAAAGTGTCAAATTTAAATTTTAAGTTAAGTAAAAAGTGTAATTGAAATTTTTTTTTTGAAAAAAAAGACCACCTCCAATAAAGTTCATCATGGATGGGATACTAAAGCCTAGTTGACCAACCACGCACTGGTCTGTCAGACCCTTCCTTTGGCAACTAGTCGGAATCTTGGGCTTCAGCTAAGACATGTTAGGGGTGACTCGGGCAATCGTTATGCGTTGGACCCGTGTCCAGCATGCTTGCTGGACACGGGTAACAGTGCCGTTAGGCACTGTTATCTCCTCTTTTTTTTTTTTTTTTTTTTAAATTTCAGACCGCTTTGTTATAGGAGTATATATTCATAATTTTATTACTATATTATTAATAACTGTACATTCATAACTCCATAACTATACGTTCATAACTCTATAACTGTACATTCATAACTCCATAACTGTACATTCATAACTCCATAACTATACGTTCATAACTCTATAACTGTACATTCATAACTCCATAACTGTACATTCATAACTCCATAACTGTACATTCATAACTCTATAATTGTACATTCATAATTTTCGAAGCTCTATGTTCACAATTTTAGAGCTCTATGTTCATAATTTTATCACTATATGTTCATAATTGTAAGTTCATAATGTTAGAGCTCTTTGTTCATAATTCGATCAATAACTGTACATTCATAATTCCATAACTGTAGATTCATAATCTCATAACTGTAGATTCATAACTCCATAACTGTAGATTCATAACTCCATAACTGTACATTCATAATCTTCGAAGCTCTATATTCACAATTTTAAAGCTCCATGGTCATAATTTTATCACTATATATGTTCATAATTGTAAGTTCATAATGTTAGAGCTCTGTGTTCATAATTTCATAATTGCATAACTGTACATTCATAACGGCATAACTGTACATTCATAATCCAAAAAAAATAACGCCGTTAACGACAAAACGCGCGCGATTTTTTTTTTTTTTAATTAAATGACGCATTTTTTTTTTTTTTTTTAAAAACGACGTCGTTTTGGGCCCGTGTCCACAATTCACTGTCGACACGGGTCCAGGGCATAATTTGCCTGACTCTGGGAAGTTGGCAAGCTATGTAAATAAGGCGGGGCAAAACGGATTCAATTAAATTGAATATAATCAATTAAGTTAAATACGGAGTATAATTTTTTTTTTTTAATACGGAGTATAATTTTTTTAATTAGTATACATTTTGGTGGATTAAGACAGTAATTACGTGTTGAAAGTATGTAACCAAATTGGGGCCAGCTATAATGAGATCGAGATGATTGGGAGATGAATGATTAAAGGTCATATAATTGTGTCTACTTAATTCATTATTAGCCGTTCTTAAAATAAAACACTGATTATCATTATCATCATGTCAATCTCACACACTAGCAAGCTAAGTTGGAATAACTTACTATGCATATTATTATGTGAAACATAATGTTAACGTGTATATATGCCTATTGCCTAATAATACATTAGTTATTACTAAATAATAAAACCTACAAAAATCACAAAATAAAATTATGTAAATGTTTCACTTAAAAAAATTGTTTTAAGTAATTATATGAATTGATTTTATTAATATTATATCAAAATAAATAGTTTCACATAAAATAATTTTATATAATTTCATAAAATCGTCACTTTTTAACAACCGAAAAGTGGTTAAAAATTAAAGGTTTGTGAGTAGAAATGACATTTATGATCACTTTTTAGAATCCAAAAAAAAAAAAAAAAAAGTACAATAATATATACCATTTGCCAAGCACCTTGTGCTCAGATGGCATGTAGTGACCTCTCTCATGTGGGAGGTCATGAGATCGATCATCAGTGGAGGCGTTGTTGACTCTGTATGTTTCATTAGGTTGAGAAAGTATGTTTGAACAGATATTACAATGTAATAGAGTCAGTAGCATTCAAAAAAATTAATAATATATACCATTTAATTAAAAATTACGACGACTCAATACTCAAGGACTAAATTGAGTATTCTCGTAGTATTTGTAATCTTTTTCACTTTGCTTGCGGTGGTTGAATATTTTAAGTACGAGTTAGTCTTCCTTTTTAGGCTTGTGAAACGGAATAGATGTCTTTGGCCTAGAACTGTTATATTTGATTATTTTTGGGTGTTCGGCTTGTGTGGTAATAAACTTTATACCCAAAATTTATTATTGTAGAAATTTTATTGGTGGTGGTCCCGTGATTTTTCTCCTTGATTTTGTGATTTCCCACGAAAATCGTGTATCACTTGTGTTGATATTTATTTTTAAGATATTGTATTATCTCTTATTTGTGCAGAATATCGTATTTGTGATTTTCATTATCACATGAAGTGAGATTTTTTCGAACAATTACAGGCGTAATTCGGCCTGATGGAATTTGGATTAATTTAACAATGGTGGGGATTGGGTTTTGTGTTGCTTTTGAGAGGATTCAATTATGGAACTCATGCAGGCTTTAATGATTGGGAGAGATTAGTTAGGGATGAAAGAATTAGGATGGAGTTGAGGGTTGATTGCGCGCATGATCGAATTATATTATTGGAAGTTTCGAACATTTAATTACCCTTCAAATTAACACACACACAAACAAAACCCGGGGGGGGGGGGGGGGTGTCATGCTTGTCGGGACAACAATATAATGGAACCATTTCCCCATCTTCTAAATTAATTAATTAATATATTAAAGTTTATATGGAATATTCCCAATATTAATCATGTACGATTTTCACAAATTGATTGGGTTAATTATAAGATATAACTAGCTGATAATATTAACTGATTGTACAAAAGTATTTGATAAATTAGTTATTAGCTAATAACTGTTTACTTAAAAAAATTAATTGAAAAAATTGTTTTAAGTAGCTTTTTGAATTTTAGCATTTTGAAATATAAAAAGTTAATTAACTAAACATTTATATTAATTTTTAAATTAAGTCAAACAATTAATAGTGGTCAAATTAGCTAACAGTGGTTGGATAAGAATAAGGGTAGATAGAAGAAGTGTGATTTATTTGGTGAACCTATACTCGTCTTAATCGTCCTCGTTTAATGGATAGTATTGGAATGATGCCAACATAACATTATCTATAGAGTTCTACTACATAGACTCTTAAAATATTACTTCGTCATTTATACTCTATGAGGTGGCAAATCAGGATTGATTATTTTCATCATATGGGTCCACATAAAAATGTCTACATCAGGAGCATGTGAGAGGGAGTACAAGTAGAGAGTTTAAAATGGGAGTACACCAAGTATTTTTCTTATCTATAACACCATTAAATTAAAAATTACGATCACATTTTAAGTTAAAATTAATTATCATTTTTTCTAAAATGTTAAATCCCAATTCTAAGGGCCTACCACACCCCAACCCAACAGAGCATCTAAGAGTATGTAAATCATAGTAGCTCAACTGAACATGAACTACAGAGGCTAGTTGCTTACTGCACACAAAGAGTTCCCTTACTGCCGCTAGTGAGACTCGATCCCTGATTATTTTTTCAACTTGCAGGCAAAAAGGTATCCAAAAATCACAAATAATTCTTAATACTCTCTTGTGGATATTAACTACTCCGTATTACTTTTCTTTAATTTGCTCGTTCGACCGCCATAATTAGTTAGAAATCACGAATTCACACAGCTGGAAAAATGTCTATAAAAAAAAAAAAAAAAAAGTGATTAGAGAGTCCAGCTACTATGATTGGTGATTAGAATTAGCAAGAAGAATTTTTGTGAATCCTAAAAATTATCGGAGTTGAGTGATTAATTTTTATGAAAAATTTTAGATTTCCAACTATTTTTTTATTGAGTATTTGGTGAGTAGTGTTAATTGAATCATGTGCTCCATCTCAACTAAAAGTCTAAATTCGAACTCATGATTTTAACATGGGTTGATTCTGATACCAAATTGAATCATATGCTCAATCTCAACTAAAAGCCTAAACTGATAGTTGGATTGCACACACACACACACACACACACACACACACACACACACACATATATATATATATATATATATATATATATATATATATATATACTAGTATTTTTTTTGCGCGATGCGCAAAAAATTAGATGCCCAATATTAATATATTATATTAAAATTTTAAATTTATTTAGATTTTAGATATTTAAATTATTCTAAATAATAATAATAATAATAATAATAATAATAATAATAATGTAAATTATTTTTATAAATTTGATATTTATATTTATGTAATAATTAACATATAACTCAAATATTTAATGTGTATATATTATTATTAATGAAGAAGATAAGAAAATATATGGTGGATGCATTTGCATGGTTTTAAGGGATGAAACAAGATGATCAAGATCACAGTGGCACTTGTCACCATCTCAGCACAGCAGTTGGAAGTTAGTTTGGTTGCTAACCTCTTTTCCCTCCCTTTTCTGTTGATGTATATAAACCTGTTTGTAACCAGAGTTGAAAGCAATGAAACAGTATCTTTTCTTCTTCTTTTTCTTCTTATGTTGAGAGCTCTCTTTAGTTCGTAAAATGGTATCAGAGCTACATAATTGAGAGCTTAGATCAGTTGACAATGGCGTCCTGGCCTCCTCTGAACAATCGCTCGACTCCTGCTGATGGTATGACTGCAGGACCATCTGCTCCGGTGAATGGCAACACCAATGCAACACACACTGGTCACATTCCTACCACCCCTGCCACCCCTGTTATCGGATCGAGCAACAATGAGGTAACATTTGATCCTCAATCGCAATCCAACCCCTATTTTCTTCACATCAGTGAGAATCCAGCACTTGAACTGGTTTCCACCCCCCTTGATGGTGCGAATTACCATTCTTGGGCTAGGGCAATGACCATGGCCTTGTCGTGCAAAAACAAGGTCCCATTCATCAATGGAAGTATTCTGAAACCTTCCACAGAAAACCTAGATAGATATCTCACCTGGGAAAGGTGCAACAATATAGTGTCCACTTGGATTGTGCGCACCCTTTCACCAACCATTGCACGCAGTGTGCTGTGGATTGATACTGCATATGGTATCTGGAATGACCTAAGAAGGAGATTTAGTCAGCAAGATTTGTTTCGGATTGCTGAAATTAAGTGTGAGATCTATCAAACCAAGCAGAATGATGATTCCTTGAACGAGTATTTCACCAGGCAGAAGTTGCTATGGGATGAGTTGGGTATTCTTAGACCCCAGCTGAGCTGCCTTTGCAGCACAAAATGCGAGTGTGGAAAGAGAATTGATGAACTGAATGAACAAGTAGAGAAGGACAAGCTGTCTATCTTTCTAATTGGCTTGCATGAGAAGTATACAGGGGCTGGAAATCAAATCATGTTGATGAGGCCCTTACCTGATGTTAATGAAGCATATTCTATGATTGCCCAGCAAGAGAGACAATTCCACATGGCCAGCAATGGTTTTGGAGGCCAAATATATCAAGCAGGAGAAAATAATGTTGCTGGTAGCACTCTCTTGGCTAGATCAGAAAGCAATTACCAACAAGGGTTCAAGAAAGCTAATCACAAGAAGCCAGTGTGTACTTACTGTGGGTATACAGACCATACTCATGATAAGTGCTACAAAAAGCATGGGTATCCCCCAGGGTGGAAATCAAGGCCAAAAAGTCAGTCTGTTAATCAAACTCAAGGTCCTCTTGCAGCACAGCAACAATACAACCCTGAAGATAATAAGTCTTTTACCCAAGATGACTTCAGAAGGTTCATGGAGTTCATGCATGCTAAGAAATCATATGGGGATTGCTTGAATTCACCTTTTGATCACCAGCAGACTTCACAGGCCTTGGCCAATACTGTGGCAGTAGATTTCCAAAAGGAAGGTATGTCTCCTTCAATCAATGCTGTTAGATCAAATAAGACTGATTGGATCATTGATAGTGGTGCCACACACCACATTGTGTGTGATTTAAAGATGTTGAAAAATCAGAAAAAGGCTCACAACATGTATGTTAATATGCCAAATGGCCAACAAGCTGCTATTCAATTCACAGGGACAGTTTGCTTATCTGAAAATCTTGTGTTGCATAATACTCTTTACATCCCTGAGTTTCACTATAACTTGGTCTCAGTTGGTGCCTTCATAAAAGATTCAAGTTATGTTGTAAAGATGTACTCTGACCAGTGTGTTATACAGGATGCTTCTCATGGGAGAATGATTGGAAGGGCTGAGCTGATGAATGGCTTGTATTACCTAGTTTTTCCTTGTTTTACACATCCTGTATGTAGTTCTATTTCTGTTGAAAACAAATGTATTCTTTAGCACACCAGATTGGGGCATGCCTCACATTCAAAAGTACAGTTCTTGAAAAAACTAGAGCCAATGATTCATTCTAATAAAAATTTGATTTGTGATAGCTGCCATTTTGACAAACAAAAGAGAGTTCCCTTCCAGATCAATGCTTCTTTATCTTCTAACTGTTTTGACTTGTTGCACATGGACATATGGGGACCATACAGAGTAGAAACTGTTCATGGTCACAGGTACTTCTTGACAATCTTGGATGATCATAGCAGAGCTGTATGGGTATTCTTGATGAAAGCTAAGTCAGAAGTCAGAAATTTGGTTGTTGAGTTCTGCAATCTTGTTGGAAATCAATTTGGAGCAGCTATAAAGTGTATAAGGACTGACAATGGTCCTGAGTTTAATATGGTAGAACTGTTCAGACAAAGAGGGATCATCCACCAAACCTCTTGTACACATACACCTCAACAAAATGGCAGAGTAGAAAGGAAACATGGGCACCTACTATCTACTGCTAGGGCTTTGAAGTTTCAAGCAAATTTACCTGACAAATTCTGGGGTGAGTGTGTGTTGCATGCTGCATATCTGATTAACAGGCTTCCATCAGTTGCTATAAACAATCAAATCCCATACCAGGTTTTACTCAAAAGAACTCCTTCATATCAACACCTAAGAGTGTTTGGTTGCTTAGCATATGCAACTACTGTTGGACCTAAATCAAAGTTGGATGCTAGGGCCAAGAAATGCATCTTCCTAGGTTATGCTAGTGCCACAAAAGGTTATAAAGTCTTTGATCTTGCCTCAAATGAGTTATTTATATCCAGAGATGTGTTGTTCCATGAGCTAGTGTTTCCTTTCCAGCGGTCCAACACACCAGAAGCTGGTCATGGGATCATACTACCATCCAAGTCTCCCATATTTCCTGAGGATTATGGTGATCTTCAAGCTCAGCAACAAGAACTCTTGCATCAGAATATAAGTGCAGAAAGTGAGAATGTTATCTCTCAACAGCATGGGACACCTGAACAAACACAAGATGACTCAGATAGTCCAGCCAGCAGTAGTGGTGAGCACCCTTGGCAACCTCCCCAGGATATCACCACTGAGCAGCAACCTGGTATTGTCCAGCAAGATACCAGAAGATCCACCAGGAGTAGACAGGTCCCTACCTATCTACATGACTACATCTGTCAAAACTCTAAGTTACATACTTCCCCTCATCAAATGTGTAAAGTGGTGGATTACAATGGCCTAACTCCATCTTTCCAGTCCTTTGCTATGAGCATATCCTGCCAATCTGAGCCTAAGAACTATTATGAAGCTGCTCAGCATGAAAGATGGAGGTCTGCAATGCAAGAAGAAATAACAGCCCTTGAAAACAATAACACTTGGCAGATGGTGGACCTACCACCCTCTAAGAAGGCCATTGGCTGCAAATGGGTGTATAAAATCAAATATAAAGCTGATGGGAGCATAGAAAGGTACAAAGCAAGACTAGTAGCAAAAGGGTACAATCAGACCCTTGGTATTGACTACTTAGACACTTTCAGCCCTGTTGTCAAGATGACCACTATCAGAACTCTCCTAGCAGTGGCAGCAGCAAAGAATTGGCATTTGCATCAGATAGATGTGAATAATGCTTTCCTAAATGGTGATTTGGATGAAGAAGTTTACATGCAGCCACCTCTTGGTTTCTCTGGGGGCAGTAAAGGGCAAGTGTGCAAGTTGGTTAAGTCCCTATATGGCTTGAAACAAGCTAGTAGGCAGTGGAATACAAAGTTGACAATTGCATTGAAACAGATGGGATTCAAACAAGCAGTTCCTGACAGTTCCTTATTAATCATGGGCAAGAATAGGTCCTTGGTGGCCTTATTGGTCTATGTAGATGACATTGTCCTTGCAAGTGAAAGCCTGGAAATCATACAAGGTGTCAAGCAGCAGCTAAGCACAAGTTTTCTACTTAAAGATCTAGGCCCTTTAAGATACTTTCTTGGGCTAGAAGTGGCTAGACACAAAAAGGGCATTGCAGTATGCCAAAGGAAGTATGCAATTGAATTACTTGAAGATATAGGTTTTACAAATGCTAAACCCGTGTTCAGTCCCACAGTTCCTTCACACAAATTAAGCAGGAATGAAGGAGAATTACTTCAAGATAGCAGCCAATACAGGAGAATTGTTGGTAAACTTCTTTACTTAACAATAACAAGACCTGACATTGCTTTTGCCACTCAGCAGTTGTCCCAGTTTCTTGATAAGCCTACAGATATACATTTGCAAGCAGCACATAGAGTCCTCAGATATATCAAAGCTGCTCCTGGGCAAGGTTTATTCTTCCCATCTACTTCTGATCTACACCTTAAGGCCTACTCAGACTCAGATTGGGGAGCTTGTGTAGATATAAGGAGATCTGTTACTGGATTCTGCATTTTTCTTGGAGATGCCTTAATCTCATGGAAATCTAAGAAACAACCTACTGTCTCCAAATCATCCTCAGAGGCAGAGTATAGGGCTTTAGCAGCCACAAGCTGTGAAATTCAGTGGTTGATTTATTTGCTAGCAGAGTTTGGAATGGTTCACAGTGAAGCAGTGGCTATATATTGTGATAGCAAGTCAGTTGTGGCCATTGCAGAGAATTCGGTGTTTCATGAAAGAACTAAACACATAGAGTTGGACTGTCATCTTATTAGAGAAAAACTACATAAAGGACTCATCAGGCTGTTCCACATTCCATCTGAGAAGCAGCTGGCAGACCTCTTTACTAAGACACACTTCCCTACATCCTTTCAGCATTATATCTCCAAGCTTGGATTAATAAACCTATATAATCCAGCTTGCGGGGGGATTTTAAGGGATGAAACAAGATGATCAAGATCACAGTGACACTTGTCACCATCTCAGCACAGTAGTTGGAAGTTAGTTTGGTTGCTAACCTCTTTTCCCTCCCTTTTCTATTGATGTATATAAACCTGTTTGTAACCAGAGTTGAAAGCAATGAAACAATATCTTTTCTTCTTCTTTTTCTTCTTCTGTTGAGAGCTCTCTTTAGTTCGTAAAACATGGTAACAATAGTGGAAAAGATAACGGAAGTTATAACGGTAGGCGTATGTTAGTCTAAAATATTTTAATGTACAATCTTTATAGCATAATGTACAAAAAAACTTTACGGAAAAAAGGGACATAAATCAAGGATATAACTTTCACACACTTATTATGTTTTTAGATTATATGCTCAACAATGTTAACTAGTCCAATTTATATACAAGTGGTTGAAAATCTAAATATTTCTAGAAACAATGTTTTTTACTACAAGTATATAATCTGTTAACTATATGCTTATAAAATCAATACCTTAAATATTGTCAATGACCTCGTGATTTAGTGGTACAAAGTGGCTCTCCTATATGGGAGGTCATGGGCAGTATTTACTCTTTGTGTTTCAATAAATTGCGGTATTTACAAGTATATAATCTGTTAACTAATTTTCAACCAAATATTTCTTAAAGTTATACCATAATAATCATGATTACATGTCAATCACTCTATTTATAACATTTAGCTTTAACTTTATTTACTTATAGTTCACATATTATAAACTTAGAACAATGTTAGAATTACTTGACATGATATATTTATAGTTAATTGATTATGTATTTACATATGTAAGTGTATATACCTACACTTAACATATACTAGAATTGTACACACCGCAGAGGTAAATATTGATCAAACGAAATGAAAAAAAAAAAAAAAAAACACCCTAATTTAAATAAAATTACGTTATTTTGGACTAGTTTCACACAAAATTGTACTTATAAAGTTGCGGTCACTATACGAGAATATATGATCAATAAAATATTGGTTACATATAAAGTTGTACTTAATTATGGATAAAATATAAAATATTTTGCCTAAGAATGAATTGATTTGACCATATAAATGAATTAAACGAAACCATATGGTTAATATAAATTTGTATACAAAATTTTATGTTACATATAAACTTTTTGATAATATTCTAACATTACGCATTAATCAATACATATTGTTCAGCTGTCTAAAATTATAAATATGTAATAGTATTAAAAATCTACTTTTGAATAGGTATTATTAGTTGCTCGATGGTTATAAATAGAATTATATATATAAATATTAAAAGAAAAAATCTTCCTTATTCTTTTGTGATAAAGAACTCTAGTTTGTTTGAAGGATGTGTTTCTCTCTTTTCTCTCCCCTTTCCTCTCCATCCCGTCTTATAATTTTATTTTTTTAAAGAGTGCTTAATTATTTAAAGAACGAAATTAAAGTATTTACACTTACTTAGAATGCATCACGTATAGGCATCATACGCATGCCATATGGATTGAAGAGACATATATATGATTTAAAAAAAAAATGAAATAAGTATATAATTATGGGGTGTTTGGTAAATAGCCGTTAGCTGATTGTGTTAGTGAGTTTGACTAGTTGATAACATTAGCTTATTGTAGAAAGATGTTTGGTAAATTAGCTGTTAGCTGATAGGATTACATACAAAATGACTTTCTCAAAAAGCTTATCGAAAAAACTGTTTTGAGTAGTTTTTTGAATTTTAGTATTTTAGAGCAATAATCAATTATAAAAAGATAATTAATCAAACATTCATATTTATTGTTTAATTAAGTCAAACAACTAATAATAATCAAACAAGTCAAAATTAATTGATAATTAACTATTTTACCAAACATGGCTATAATGATTTCAATGCTAGCTAATTAATTAATATATAGATTTAAGTACTAAATACAAGACATACATAGACATCCATGCAGAACAAGACAACACACGCATGCCTTGTTGTCTGCACATTATATATATTGACTAAACTTTCTATGAAGCTACGTGGGATGAGGCTTTGATTAATGGTGGGAAAAAAAGAAAGTTTATACAAAACCTGCAGTAAGCCTGCATCATGTCACAATTATTACACTTTTATTATTAAATTAAAGTCATTATATTTGATCATAAATGTATGACAATTG